AAACAGAATCTCTTACGCAAACTCGGGCTGGCTCTCTTCTCGGGTGGGTCTTATACAGAGCTCATTCCCTCCTTCATTAAGCCACACAGGTCTCACTGGGAGATACCTGTGGTCCTTGCTCGATATCGTTGGTGCTCACTTGCTTTGGTGGACTTGGCATGAGAGTGATGAACTCTACAGCGCTAAGATTTGTGGGGTAATTAGTTACGACGTTACTCATTTCATTCAGTGATACTTTGCAGGTTCCTATAGCCAGCAGCTTTTGGATACTTTCTGAGACGGCGTGCATTGGCCTTGTCTATGCTCTAACACGGACTCGATCTACGCTTCTGATTTCCACCCTCATGTTCTTGTTGGTTCCCGTCCTTTTCAACATCCCTTTTGCGGTGCTATATCATCCCATTGAACAATATGGTCGACCTGATGTTGCATTATATCTGATGGAAGCCATAGGAGTTATCGCGGCGCTCGGGCTTCTCGCTGGTCATCACTCCACCAAATGTTCTCGACACTTGTTCGGCATCGCTGTGGCCTTCGTTCTGATTCATCTCGTCATTTTACTGGTCGATCGAAGCGAAATGCCTCATAAGCTGAGATATTCCTACGGCCAGCCGTTCGTTTACCGGGACTGCCAGGGTGAACAAGAGACTGTCTTCTGGGGTACTATGACGAGAGATCGTTTCCTTTGTCCTGCTAAGATGAGCGCGGAAAAGCTTTACACGCTCAACTGCCTCGCCGAGATGCCAGTTGAGGGGAAATGGTATGGCTGTGCGGTGTAGGGTGACTTTCGAAGTTTCATCGATAATCGTTGAGTTTCTGAAGTCCTTGGTCTTGTTGTTGTTGATTTATGTCGCTAAAGGCAACGAGAAGCGAAAAGCTGACTGAGTCGACGGATATTTTCCTTTTTCGAACTTTCTGATTAACGTGTGATTTCGAATCAGTGATTTGCGTTAGGATACTGTCAATCATACTCAGCTTGCTTACATTGCAAGTCCCATTCATCGACAAGAGTGACCTCAGAAGGTATTGTACAGTGGTTTAGAGCACGAAGGTCCGAAAGATGGCACGAAACTGACTGTAATGGTGTCAGCCACCAATTCAAAAACCTCCCCGCGGTCGAAAACCCTCGATGGGATATGTAGTTGACGCAGTATGTGGAGAACTTTCTACGATATTACTACAGCGGTATCTCTGTTTAACATGTGAAATTAGCTCACCCTTATCATGCGGACGTTTCTATCGAAAACTCTCTGGAACGCTAAGTGATAGCACACTCACTTATCGACTAACATTGGCCGATAATGAACGAGATCCACAAGGCTGGATAGGGCTGCCCAATCTGTGGACTACCCGGAATCGGAGTTGTTTCGTTCGAGCTGAATAGGGGTATTGAGGATTAGGAGGCATCGCAGGGGATCGTATGCGTGCCGTGTTGTTGTTTATGCGTGCTCCTCCAATCGTTGGGACGTATGCGTACTGTTGATCGGTCATATGATATTGAGATCGAGTAATAAGAGGATGAACTTTCGTTAGTTTCTCTATTGAATACTTGTTTACTTCTATTGTCAATCATCAATAGGGCCTCACGTCTGGCAACGGCTCCAGACCAAGAATCGGACCCCACTGAGACTCAGTGACTAAGCTCGCGGGGCAAACTCAGAGGGGAAAAAGTAGCGGTGCGCGAAAATAGATACCAAATATAGCACGAATTTCGCAGAATTCTCGAGCCGCCAACGAAAATACGGACAATCCGAGTCGGGTTGACCACTGCTGTGGACAACTGTCGGGTCAAGGGGACTCAACGTTAAATGAAGCGCTTGGTATCACCACAACTCAAGCATCCGGATGGGATTGGAGAAATGACATGAAGTGGACGGAGTACATCTGTATTACAACAACAACAGTAACTACCACATCACATCAACAGCCATAGGCCGAGACGATAGCAAAAATAGCAGCAGTAGTAGTAGATGCAGCAGCGCCACGGACGGAAGGCTATAGTGTATTCAGATTAAACAAAGCACTGGAGTAACGGTCTGCTGAGGATCCTACCTCAACAGGCCTAATACGTATCTTTACAGTCTCATCCCGAAGAGAAGTTTATAAGGCGACAGCAGTGAATATACAACACTGTTGTCGAGACACGAAGACGAATGAAGAAAGGATTCATTGAATGGAGGTTCGTGTTATGATATAACGTTCTTGACTATGATAGACAACGCTTTGGCCTACCACAGTACAAGAGTGATAGACTTAATGGTGATACCACGACAACTATCACCATCGATACAGAGACATCTTAAGGTGAATGCAATCGAGTACACTCAAAGCAAACACTCTCGCACTTTCCCAACGAGTCGCCGAAGCCTGGCAGCTGATGGGCTAGAAACTCGCGCACCACAACTTTCAGCTGGACCTAGATGTATGGTCGTAATAGTGGTTGCTACCGGCTCGGCGGCAACAGCAGGAGAACTACTCCCGTCTCCTATCTCGTATATAGTAGAGGTAGGTGCCTTGGATATCTTAATAGAAGGGATCTCTTCAACCGACTCATCATCATCCTCCTCCCTGATCAAGAAAGCCTCTCATCCCCAATCAGCGTACCACTCCTCACTCACTTTAAGGAAGAGGAGGAGGTAGTGTCGATCTCGACGGAAGCCACGGGCTTCTCTGTGGGCATCTCACCTTCCATCGCGAAGCCTGACATAACAACAGATTCTCCGACATAAAACTATATCCTCGATAATTCGGGGTGATCTACCATAGCTCTCGACAATCCAGATCAGCTACTATCGAACGCCTACCCGTGCAAGGCTTTTTATCATCCCGACCAGCCTCGGCGGCGGACCCTATGCGGGGAGTCACATCATGAATCGATATATCTGAACACAGAATACCATCACAACTCTGATTCACCAAAGTTAACCCACCAGTGAGAGTATCCATGACAGTCCTCAGCCGCCCACTTGGTGACCTCCTCAACCCTTTAGGAAGTGTTTGGCCCGCAGTTCTAGCCGTAATGGGAAACCTATCGAATCAAACCACAAACTCACCCTACCAAAAAGACGATGTCGCATCCAATAACATAGAAAAAGTCAATTCCTGGGAAACCCGTCGGCCACCTGTAATCAGCCGTATCGTCACTTATCCAACTTCCCGTCAATGATGAGATCGTGGTGTCTTCAGAGGTGCTACTCTTGTTATCATCAATGTGGCCTGGCGACTTAGCCAGAGTTCTCGAGGCCGCAGTAGAGAAAGATGACGACGACGATGGAGACGATGGCCCATGATACTTCTCAAGCCAGTAACACAACCACTCGGTCGCGCTGAAGTATCACCAGGTTGGTATGCACGCATGCACAAACTTCACTTACGCAGTGCATATCTCATCAGCGACCTCAGCAACTCTACCAGAGACATCATCTTCTTCACTTTCTTCATCGCCAGTATTGTAGGTATGGCCACTCGAAAGCTTCGCCCAAGTAAAAATGCGACACAAGTCAGCAGTCTCTGTGCTTGATGGTACCTACGAGAGAACACCGTGCACACAATCGTTCCCACAGCTTCAACGTTTATACTCGGGCGAAAACGTCACGATGCGACTATTTTCCATCTGAGCAAACTCTCCTCAACAGAGTCTCACGTTTATAATAGTAGATCTTCGATCCGAATATCTGGTATGTGACAAGATCGTTGGGAGGTAGTCTGACGGGCAGGAATCAAATCTCCCAACGACGACTTTTACATAGTCTTCCGGACCTGAGGTAAATCTTCCTCAGATACTGGGCCTAGCCAGGCGGCTAAAGGATATGTAGGGAAAGATAGATCTCGATACGATTATGTGGTCGGACATGTAAAATATCATATGAAGCTCTCCGAGAAGACAGTCGCATGATAAATTGACTGTAGCACAACTACAATAAGGAGAACAACGAATATCCAACAGGTTAGCTATAAAAGATTCATATCATGTCCGGACGCTGCCCACGCCGATACTCACCTATTCCGAAGCGCCGACCTTCAAAAAGCATAGTACGAGGTTCGGCAGTATTAACACAAACAGTCCCTCTACGGGACCCGGACAACGTGTGTCCAACGAAGGTAGAAATCTGACAGAAAGATGGTACAACTATCAGCACGCATGCACACAGATAACATCACTAACCTTAACATCATCAATGATACTCCAACCATATTTCATAGCATACTGCGACGACAGGTCGCCTGGATACGTGCGAGAGGCGCCCCTATCGCCACTGTGGTGATCAGATTGATCACTCACAGTATGGTTGTAGTATATCGGACCAGAGAACATTCAAATTCGAAAAACTAACAACAATTACTAATACTACAACAACAGCACTCAGCGCACAGCGAAGATTCTCCATTATACCATCCCAGCCTGAACATACCCAGAAACAGACCATCCCACCACGTACAAGAGAGTCATCCTACGACGCTATTAGGTACAACTACCACACAACAATCATCACTATGAATGAGTTATAGACGAGATTATGGTGGTGTTTATAACTGAGCCCTACACTGATGCTAATCACCATCCTCATCAGGACCGACACGGCAGCTCCGATAAGGACAGCAACACCAGTATGGACAACTACAGAGTAGTAGAGAAACAAGTAGGATAGTGGTGGCCTGTCCATCAGGCAGGAGTATCCTACTGCGCACAGTGAAGAATATTCAACCTGGGGTATCGATGGCTGTTCCATCAACATGAAAATCCTACTGCGCACAGCGAAGAATATTTCCAACTTATAGTACAACCCAGTCCTCCCCACCCTTCTTAGTGCTAGTCTTAACATGAGTAGTCTGTGTGCCTTCACTCTTCACCTCATTATCCTTGTGGTCTTCCTCTGCGACAGCTCCCAAAGTGATATGCTCCCCCTCTTGAGCTCTCTGCGAGGCCTTCAAAGCCTCTGCCGCCTCAAGCGAAGTGGCTGGGTCTTCAGCCCAACTATCTAACCACACTTGCAACCTATACAGAAAATCCCGTCACGCGCCACGAAATTCATCATCAGCTACCTATCGCAAGCATCGCCCATCTTGTCGGCGAAATCATCTAGCGCTTGATCCATCTTCTCATCAAAGGACGGCTGGGGTCCAAGATTGGCCTCAGCGACGAGTTTCTTCAAAGCCGCGAATACTGCATCATCACCTCCTTCTACCTGAAAATGAGTATTCTAAAATCTTCGCCGTGCGCACAGCAACTCACATTGATACGAACTTTACGTCCGAGTGTACCTTCTGGAGCAGCGATAGCAGCTGCCGAATCGACGGCCACCTTAGGGAGTTCCCCAACAACATCACAGGTCGGACCATGCTCCAGGAATACTTCATCAGTATCAATACCTAACATAAACGACAACTATGGTGATGATGATCATGGCGACGATCATACGAGTTCAGTGATAGATCCAATATATGAACACCAATTCGCAGTACTGAATTCTTTATACCGCTAACACCATCATATCAGCAGGGATATTCCAGAGTCACCTATACTAGTTCAAGCTGAGGTCTAGTCGTTGAGGCCCTAGCCAAGCTCGCAAGCTTGGAAACCTCACATCAGCAGGAGCAGAAAGCAACCATAACACACGATATACGGACAACTTCACTATATACTGTATCAACATAATATACCTAGATGATATCTATACCCTAATACTAACACGAATATATTACTATTTCATGAAGGGGGATATAGACCGTCTCATAATATCCTAACATATATACATCGGGTGTGAACAGGAGTATAACATGATTCGGGTAAGACAAATCTGTACGAAAATTATGAGATAAACTCCGTTGCAGAAAATGCACGAAAATATTTTTGGCTATAATCTTCGAATATGATGTTTTAAAACAAAACAAACGCTATATTCTGGATCAGCACGCTTTCCTCGATAAGACTAGCTATTCAGCTCACTTCGGAAGTTTATCCTACAGATTTCCATAGTATCACTATACATATCCTCTCAGGGGAGGAAACACCCATAACCCACATCTAAACTCACCAATAGCTAACTTTTTGCCGTCTATGGTGATGAAGTGGGGACTCGACAGATCGAATTCCAGCTTGCCTTCCCGGATGTTCGTCACACCGTTCCTCAATGAAACCGCAACCTAAACACGCAACCGTCATACACCCAATCAGCCGTCACGCGCCACGAAATTACAGTAGCATTTTCGAATGAGCCCTTCTGGACTTCATCATCTCCAGAGATCCACGACGAGAAGGGGCCACCGATGGCGGCAGCGGCACTATAGTAGGGCATGGGTTCGAGTGGCATGTGATAGAGAAAATACTAAAACCTGCACACAAGGAGAGAAGAAGAAGAACAGCGTCACTGAGCCACGAAATTATCGACCCTCATTCCCCAACCAGGAACACCACCCTTTCCTATGAGAAAGTCGTGACTGAACATGCAATCTACGGCGTCACTGAAAGACACTCCTTCAGCTGCTGGAGTACCATCACCTCCATATAGTACTCCCTTACTTGATAGCTGCTACGGAATAAGGGGCCACTGGCACAGTATCCAAGTACGAACAACACCAAAGGGGAAGATACGGATGAGGTTCCAAATGACAAGATACGGATGAGGTCCCAAATGGCAAGATACGGATGAGGTCCCAAATGACAAGATACAGACAGGGTGTAACTGGCAAGATATGAAGCAGATGATGATGACAAGCTAATAGTAGGAGGAAGAGAGCTAGGATCTTATCAGTTCCCAAGTCAACAACCAGTCATGTCCATTACCTTCAAATAGTCAGTATTAATCGCATCATGGGTCATGCCTTAACACCTCTTTACACTAGTTGAACCCCGCGAGTGTGACGTGCTGTATAACCTTCATATGGCACCTCACAGACTGCAAGTATCTACTCCTTGAACTCTTGAGCCAATACCCATCACTACCACCATTGCAACAAGATACCATTACTGTCCGAAAGTCACAACATCAACTCCTGATTTCGTCAGATCCTTCATGGCTATTTATATATACACGGAAGGACGGCAACGGAATCGACAAGAAAAGTGACAGCAGCGAATGGCGGCCGATACGACAACAGGAGCCACCATAACCTCATCATCAAACCCCCCTATAGCTGATTCAACTATAGGATCAACAGAGTTCATCTAGTCACCACTACACGAGAGAACGACTACCTGATTCACAGTGTTAAGACCATATCGTGTCACTACTTTCATATCAAGACAGCAGCTAGAGCCCATAGCGTAGAAGGATGCAGATATGATACCACACCACTGCTACATCCTAATCAACTACTTTTCATCCGCATCACCTCAACGTCCTGAACACTTAGTCAATACTTTTCAGCAAGCTCTAATGAATCCTATAACGAACAATATAATACTTATCCATTTGGGCACTCACCAAGACTCTGTCGGTACCCAGCTCAACGATCTTTCACGGAGGACAGCAGCCTTTCGACAGTGTCGATATGGTGAGCGCAGACATGTATACTACTAGGGGGTAACTCCTTAACACAGTAACTGACAACAACAACTTCACAATGGACACGACCACACATCGACCAAGTCCGGCATCTTCTCTGAAGCGATGTGCATCGCGCTTTGGTGAAGAACATTGTCGTGATCTACACTCATCAATACCTGCCACACTGACGTTCAGACTGGCATCTTCTTTTAGCTAGATGGTACAATATGACTCAACTGCTTGCCATCCACCCATTCTCACTTCGAGATGGTCTCTCTCACAGTGGCAGGGGCACTGGCATCCAATTCTGGGAAGGGGGGGTTGTGGTATGTTCTTGCTGCAAAAAAATGGGCGTCTCCTGAACGAAACGTAGCCCATTATTCGACCGACAGAGAGACAGCTCTCACCTTATACAAGTGCCATTGCCCATGAGCATTATAGTAACAATGCCACCACTCGAGCGCTCCTCAATGTCGGAGCATCTGGCTTCTTGACAAACAGTGGCCAAACCGGTGGACTTAACATTAGCTTACAAATGGCGTACCGCACAAGATCTTCATTAGTTGGTCCTCCGATCGAAGAACTGTGCCTAACCAACATCTCCTATGAACTATTCCCTTACTGCATAAAGGGGTGGTTCAAAATACTAGCGTCGAAGAGCTACTGAGCAGGAAATTACGGATATATCATTTTAAGCCTTTTGGGTTCTCTCATCGGTGCTCTAGTGGGCCTCGAAATTTGTGTTGCTGCTGTAGAGGCAGCGAGTGAGGCGGAAGAAAGAGAACAGAAATGCCGATTCAGGGAGAAAAAAGATCCATAACATCACGAGAACAGGTAAAAAGAAACTGCGCCGAGGTGGGATGGATTTGATACAATCCTTAATTCTTGACAGGCTAATGCTGGAAGTACGATAGAGTTCTCAAGAGCGGTCAATAATTCTACGATATTCTTTGACGTACATCGTAGTAGCTTTGCGAGTCTACGTACAGGCCCGTAATGCTCCCCACTTGATCAAAATATCTAGCAGACTAGTCTAGTCTGCTACACATTTTAAGATTTTTTACATATTTCCGGCCGCCCCCTTATATCTAGTCTGATTAGATATAAGGGCGCGTCCGGATTTGAACCGAGGACCTGCTGATCTGCAGTCAGCCGCTCTACCGCTGAGCTACACACCCGGCTGATATGAGGACAAATGAGGAGGGTGCGAGAAGAGCTCTAGGAGTGAGCGAGAAAACCCCCAAGATTTGCTCGAAGGGTGACCGTGGGGATTCACACTGTGTGGACCACACATACCAGGATTGCCACACGTGGGAGGAAGTTTGAGATGCTCTTGCGACACGTGTCGGGGTATCGGTTGATGAACTCTAAGAACAACACAACAAGGGAACTCGAGCTAGAGCAACCAATACTACGACCCTAGGACAATAACAATAAGCGCACTACCTGCACTTAAGTTCTGTATGAATACCACAGACTTAGCAGCACAGTAATCGATATTGGGCTCATTCGCTATACTGAGGAAGGCGAAGGTTTGATGAGATTACAAGGGTGCAGGCAAACTGGACCCACAACACCTCGTCCCCCCCAAAACCTGAGCCAACCCTCAGACTTCACAATAATAAGGACGATGACAATAATAGCTAACGGAAAGATAGAGTCTAGCAAAGGTCAACCGAGCCACGATACATGAATATCGAGACTACGGGACAAAGAATAAGCAAAAGATCCACTTTCCTAATTGGGGCCACGGTAGCTCCAACGAAGTCATTCACAATGGACCGAATCGGGGCAGACATCGAGTACAGAGTGAGAACAGCTGACATAGAACTCTTCGTCGTCCCCCCGACTCGAGCAAAGTCGGAACATGGATCGATATCCTCGGGTCGTGCAACATACCAAAGGCAGAACAAACGGCTATAAACGATATCATACATTGAGGGAAATGAGACCAGCAGTAAACACTTACGAGCCATACTCATAGATAAACAAACCACCAGTATAATCCCAAGCGAGATTCCCCTTGCCGTTTCAACGTAAACCAGTGTGGCGCGACTCCTCCCAGAGCGAGAGAAACGGAGGGTGCCTCAAGATCCCTGGCGCCTTCCGGGAAAATGAGCAACCGCCCGACTCTCAGAGCTATTCCTTCCGGGATCAAGAACATAGAATTCAGCCCTGCAGAAGCCGAATCCGAGTCTCTCCCAGTCAGATGCGCCTATTCCATACACCTTGTGCGCGCGTACACGTGCCGTAAGCAGCTGCACGTGTACACAGTCAAATCCGTTGCACACTAACAGTCATAACCCACATACTTCCTCCACGGTCAACAAGACCATTGCAATAATACCGACCAAAAAGTAGAGATAACAGGCATGAATATAACATAATCCAATCTCGGGAAACCAAAATAAGATAGCCCCAGCTCTCCTCCCCTCTAAAATGTTGGCCATAAGGGACCTCATTTTAAGACCGGTCAAGGGGACAGAGCCAGACCATAATAGAAACCAGCAAACGGCGGTCATACTCGATGACATCAGCCGAACAAAAACAGGAGTCAGCAAAGATAGTGAAGTAGGTGATAATCCTACTCAGCGTAACCACCACGGGACGTATAACGCTCGGGGGAGAAACGCGTGGGTGCCCTGGGAGTACGCATACTCCGACGAGGCGCTACAGAACCTTCTACCTGCTCTGGACTAGAAGCCAGCACATCAGCGTAAGTGCGAGTAGACAAAGTCGAACCACCACTACGAGCAGAGACTACCGGAGTGTCTGTCGCGGCCGGGGAGCTTTCCAAAGCAGGGGTAGTAGGGATCTCGTCAGGAATTACGAGATCAGTAGAGGACTCAACAGTCGCTTCCTCTACTTGTACCTCAGGGGCAGGTGCTGGATCTGGACCTCGAGTCAACGGTAACGTCTCATCGGTACCAGGAGATGCTGTAATCGAGCTCGACGAAGCCAGCTGAGACGCATTCCTAGAGGGGTCTGTAGAGACCGGGACATCCGAGACCAATCCAGAACCCAGACTTAAAGACGGTGTCTCGCCAGAGTCGACCAAAGTTGGCGAAACAGAGAGCAGTTGCTGACGCTGAGCTGAGATCAACACAGAAGGGGCACTTAACGTTTGCCTTGAGGAAGGCCCAGAATGACCTAACAACTGCTCGAAGTCGGCTGCAGGGGCCGACACTACATGGGTGGGAGTGGAAGCCGAGAAAGGCAGTGACCTTCTAGAGGCACCACATTCCTGCGAAGCAGAATCCAGTCCCAACGAGGGAGAATTACCAGAGGACTCCAAACCAGCAGGTACCACAGCAGGCCCAGCCCTACCAGTAGCCTGGAAAACTGGCCCACTCGTGGCAGGAGACCGGAGAACGGCAGACCCTAATTGTACCGGAACTGGAATAGGGGTTTCCAGTCTCGGCACACCGACCTGTGCAGAACCAGACGATGGCGCCTCCAGTCTCGGAAGCAGATCATCTCGTCTTTCTGCTAGAGGGTCAAGATCATCACCATCATACACATAGGGAATGTCGACCAACCGAAGATTAGCAGGAGCTTCGACGTCCGGGACAACCGAAGATCTAGCAGACCGTCTAGAAGCAGCCGAGCGAACCAACTCATCACGAAATGGAAACTGCTCTATACGCGGCCCCTCTTCTACAGGAGGATCCACCCTAACAATGCCAAGCTCTACCGGGACATCGGCAGGCTGTACCGGATCGGGAACTATATAGTCAGTAGAGATAACCTTCTCTTCCTTGGAGGGGTAGTGCCGAAGAACCACCGTCTTCAAGTGCGTTCCCGAAACAAACTGAGCAATATACCAATTCAACTGCCATTTAGGTAATAACTTCCGACCTGGCAAATTGTTAGGATGGTGTATCCTCAGCCTTACACGTTGTCCCACGAAATGTCGACGTGCAGCAGCAATCTTCTCCCTCTCTTTCAGCGCTTGGAACCCAGCACCATGAGCAGTAACCCACTCGTCGACATTGTCCTCGATACAAGCCCGAATACGAGACAAATGGCGCTGATAACCTTGTGGATCAAACACGTAATCAACGTATGGTTCCAAAGCTGGGAAAAATAACGTAGGCGGCTCCCGCCCATACATTAGGAAAAACGGGGCATACCCAGTCACACTATGAGGTGTAGTGTTGTAGGCCCACAACACTGACCGTAAGTGATCCTGCCAGGTATCCACCCTCGTCACATGAGTCCTTAATAAATTGAGAATGGTGCTGTTAAACCTCTCCACATGACCATTTGCATTGGGATGATAGACCGAAGTACGGGACTTAGCTATACCTAGCTGAGCCAAGACATCCTTGAACAGCTGAGACTCGAACGCACTCCCCTGGTCTGAGAGTATCCTAACCGGGGGACCATGAATCGAAAAGAGATTCAGTAGGGCCTTCAGTGCCTCCGCAGCACTCTCACCTGCCACGGGGACAGCTTCGGCCCACCTTGTGAAGTGGTCCACCACTACCAATAGTTTAGATACACCGCTTCTGCCGGGAGCCACCGTAAGGAAATCGATAGCTACTGTATGCCAAGGCGAACCAACCGGATACGGGACATACGGCAAGTGGGGTAGCAAGACGTTCTTATGGGGGGCACAGCCTTCACAGTGCAACAAGAACTCACTAATATCCTTACTCATACCTGGCCAGTAAGCTGTACGTCTCAACCTTGCCACCATGTGCTCTCGTCGAAAGTGTCCCGCCTCCTCATGAAACCGATCTAATGCTTGGCGTCGAAGACCTTCGGGGACCACTGGAACAAACCTCGAAGTCGCCTCTTCATTAATCTGCACTCTTCGTACCAATAGACCAGAATCATGAACCCGTAGGGTTAGCCAAACTCTCCGATAGGGCCGATACTCTAGATCCTTGAGCTCATCCTTCGCTAAAGGCTCTCCTGTCCGGACCCTGTCTCTCACTACCCGAAGAACAGGATCCAACTCTTGCTCACGTACCAAATCAGCTGTTGACCATTGCTCACAGAGGGTGAGAACACAAGCAGGGGCAAAATTGTCCTTCTCCATCGCATCGGCCTCCCTACCTTCAGTCAATACCTTGTCCGTCACCAGGGCAGGTGTACCTTGCAGTTCATGCTGGAGTGCTCCAAGATCTGGCTCTGCCACTTTGTCGTCGGATGTAGTAATCCGGGACAAGGCATCAGCTACGACGTTGTGCTTACCCTTCTTGTAAAATACCTTAAATTTGAACTGGGACATACTAATGAGCCAGCGTTGCACTTTCGCCGTCGTAGCCGTCTGTATCCATTCCAAAGGCTTGTGATCCGAAAAGACGACCAACTCCAAATGGTAACCCCAGAGCAACGATCTAAACCGTTCTAATGCCTTGAAGATAGCGTAAGCTTCCCGCTCATACACCGGCCAGACTTTCTGGGTAGGGGTCAGAGACTGGCTGAAGAAGGCCAAAGGCCTTCCGTCCTGCTCCACCACAGCCCCTATCGCTACATCGCTGGCGTCGGTCATGAGCTGAAACGGTCTCGAGAAATCTGGATAGGCCAACAAGGGGAGACTGGCTATCCACTGCTTCAGGTCGTTGAAGGCCAGCTCTTCCTCCTTGCCCCACTGATTTCCGAGTTCCACAACCTTGTTCTTCGTACAGTAGTTCACAATTTCATAAAGACACCGAGACTTATCCGCAAAGTGCGGGACAAAATTCCTATAGTACCCTGCCAGCCCTAAGAAGGATCGAAGGGCCGGGGCAGTCCGAGGTAGAGGCCACCGTAAGATAACCTCGGCCTTACCCAAGTCGGGACTCATACCAGTACTATTGAACATGTGACCCAAATAGGTCACTCGATCCTGCATAAACTCGCACTTCTTAGCGGCCACCGTCATACCAGCCGCCCGTAGAAGCTCAAAGACGATCCTCAAGTGCTCCAAATGCTCTTCATCAGATCTACTAAAGATTAGGACGTCATCGAGATAAACCCTTACAAAGGGAAGGTGTCCCAGGATGGCATCCATCAACCGCCGGAAGGTAGCCGGGGCACTTGCCAAACCAAAGGGCATCATCACCCACTCATACAATGGGAAGCCTGGACCGGGGCAGAAGGCGGTCTTCCGTTGGTCCTCCTTGCGAACCGGGATCTGCCAGTAACCACTTCTCAAATCGAGAGTCGAAAACACTCGTGCACCAGCCAGGTGCTCCTGCACGTCGTCTGGCCGGGGCACAGGGTACGCCTCAGTATGGCATGCTTTGTTGAGGTTCCTGTAGTCAATACACATCCGGACTTTACCATTCTTCTTCGGGACGAAGACGCACGGGAACCTCCATGCCGACGTACTCCTTCTAATAACTCCAAGCTCCTCCATCTCCTTCAGTAGTGTCGAGATCTCATCACGATACTTGTGAGGGATAGGCCGTATCCTCTCACAAATTGGACGAGTCGTTCCAGTCTCGACCGAGTGCTCAGCTTGAGTACAACGTCCGGGACGTAACACAAAGAGATCCTTGAACTCCTCACATAAGTCGGCAACTGGCTGTTGCGCTTCCGTAGGGCTCTCACATATATCTGGTAACTTAACCGTCTCGTCCAGAAACTCTGGGACCGCAAACCGTAAGGGATCTTGGCAGATATCATCTCCTTCGAAACCATCTACATGCTCCCAAGCAGCTGGGGGCCACTCCTCTCCCTTAATAAGCTCTTTCCCTTTCGGCTTAGACGTGCCGGGAACTCTAGCCTGTGATTCGGCCGGGAGCTTCAAGTTGGCTCTCTCTAACTCCTCATCAGTCATGAGAGGCCCATCCGCTCTCAGGCCGGCACACCCAGTCGGGGCAGAGCAAATATCACAAGGGCGATCGAAGGTGGAGACGTCCAGATGGGCAAATGCAGCTGCACATCCCACGCAGTAATGTTCTGGCTCTCTCACACAGTCGATTTCTATATCCTCTTCGAGACGGGGCTTCTCGCACCAATCGTTAACAGGCACCGAAACAGTACCCTTCGACGTATCACTGTAGGCCACATCCTCGCCCACAGCCTTATCCGATGCGGCATCGGATAAGGCAACATCACCTCTAAGGCATCAACAAGGTACCATTTCACTGAAATGATTTCAGACTGTAATGGTACCTTGTAATTTACAGTCATGGCATTACTGTTCGAAAGTCACAACATCAACTCAGAATTCCCTCATGGTTCGGTCAATCTGGAAAACACAGATATACAAGGAAGGACGACAACGTCAGATTCCTCCACATCGCAATCAGAAGAGTGACAGCAGAGAATGGCGTGCGACACAACCAATATAACTTCATCGAATCCTCCTATAGCAGATTCAATTATAGGATCACTCTTATGCCGAATCTAGAGGGCTAGACCTGTTTATCACTGAGGCTGGAAGTAAGACGGAGTTATCATTTTTGTTCTCGAGAATCTTTAAAGCCTCAGAATCAAAGTCAGAATCTGGAAAGCCCACGTAAGCGCAAATGTTGAGAGCGCATATTGATTTCGATGCATTTGATTATCCCTGCTCTGGCAATTGACCCGATCATCGAATCAATTGCCAGAGCATCGGATGATCGGGTCCCGATGGATCAGCTGCCGACTATTTGAGTGGAGCTTGTAGTGGCGCAGGTTTTTCGGACGCAGCAGCGCAGTGATGGAGCATCTTTACTCCTCCCGAATCGTTGTACAGAATAAAACTGTGCCCGGCACTTCACGATTGCTGGGAAGCGCCGGTCTCATCTCATTGGGAAAAATGAACGACGACGAACCCCCTCTCAGCAGATGAGATACAAGCAACAGCAACTCTCCCCGAGAGTTGCTGCTGCGGGAGCAGTGCTCCCACATAATGGGCGGCAGAAGTAGACGAACCATCTCTGTTTAGGCAGGCGGATTTGGTTGGCTTTTGCAGGATGAGAGTCGATTCGCGGGCTGATATACTACACATAGACAGCATCGCAGAGAATAACATGCGACTGCATCAGAGCTTCTCTCAGAAACTTGTGATACTAAAAACCTGAGGGAAACACATCCGCAATGACCCGGGTTGGTCGAGCGGCTCGACTCGAGCCTTCTATTGGATGAAAAGCGCATCCACGCGTTCCTAGTGGTCCAATAATCGGCAACGCCAGTAATATGAGTATCTGACTGGTATTGACGGGCAACTGGAGCCAATGTTGCCTCGAACGTACCCGTACCCGTACCCGTACCCGTACGCGCAATCACGCCCAGCACTACAATACCATCGAAGATCCAATCGTGGAAGATTTCGCCCGGACATCTTTGATCTTAATCTTTTTTCAATAATCGCCTAGACATAACGAGTGCTCCCAACGAAGTGCCGATAGCTAGCGAACAGGCGATAGCCACTATGAACAGAGGAGATGACGTTCCGTATCTCGCCCGCCTCCGCCTGCCGTCTGATTCTCGAGTGGCCTCTGATTCCGCTCGAATAGCCTCTAATTCCGCTCGACTGGTGTCGAGGTTCGCTGGTATGGGTGCGCGGAGGTGATACGGTGGCAGCCACTGGGTGGCTGGTTTCATCCTGAGACAGGCCTGATCGGCATAGTCGGCAAGTCATCCACTCTGGTCACCAGAGTCTGGTGTACAGCGAGACAGCCACCGGTAGCACGTGCGTGTAGCGGTAGCGCGTGGTCGATCGGCCTACTCAATAAATGGATGCTGAGAATTCACTCGGATGAAATTAGAATGAAACCACGCCAAACTAAATAGAACAGGATGACTGTGCGTTAAGGGTTGTGTATCTCACTCACTGTCCGGAGGCTCGCTTCATTAAAATGCCCATCAAACGATTAATCCCCATCGCCGCAGCTGCCGTAGTGACGATGTCGTCCAAACCACTTGATGGTCTCGCCGCCCGTGAAAAACATGATGATGTAAGTCACACTGAGGCAATCTAGTAGAAGTGGGGGATGTTCCACTTTTCTTCATTCCTATAACGCCACCCGTTTTGGGGCTCCGGCCAGGCAGCAGCCTCGAGTGTTCTTTCCAACCTCTCAGAGCTTCCCTCCACTGAAGAACGCGACCACCGACTGCTGCTTCTTTTCCAACATGAAGCTCACCTACGACAGACAATCGGTTAGGATAATCGTTGAGCCGGACTTCACCCTGCGGACCATGTACATTGCCTGCCCAAGAACAGAGAAGTGGGAAGCTTTTCAAGCCGACTTGTACGCCCGCGCTGGGAAGCATTGATATTCTCAGCAGCATGTTTTCAGTTTGAACCCCGGAGCCCTCAGTCGATTCTACCCGTCTGGCCACGCGTTGTGGCCGATTTTGTACAAGAAAGCGGCCGATTTCGAAGAGTATCAGGACGGTCGCGTCAAGGATCCTCTCGGGGAAAAACTTCGTGTGAAGACCTCTGGACTCAAGCGGAAGCTTCCGACAGAAGTTTGCAAGGCGGTGATGAACGAGTTGAGGAAGGAATACGGCACATATATGGCGATGTGTGCTCGTTTTCGTCATGCAATCGTGGACGCAGAGCCTCTGCGTTGAGCTTCTCTCTTGAAATCGTGGATCTGCTGAGTGCAGACTTCTGTCCCCGGAGCAGCAGCGCATCTATTGGTTGAGGCTGAGCATGTTTATGCAAGTTGTTGCTGTGCGTAGTGATCCAGTTGTTGTGTGCTACAACATCGATACAATCGCGTCTCGTTTCGATTCGGCCTCGCATCCGGGACCACCAGAGGGTGTGTTCGGAACACAAGACAAAGACCTTCAGAGAGCGTCAGAGACTGCGCAGTATCTAAGTCGCCTAACCTCTCGTACCAGGTACTGAAAGTGTCCCGTCCCAATCCGATTTTCATGGCTGGATTGACTGATTCAATTCAGTGGATTCTATTCGAAAGGGCAATATACTACTACACTTACTCTCTACACGTCGTCATCCCGGCCCTTTCTTACGACAGGTGGATTCCTAGGAGCCTGTCGGGCGTTTTGAGTAGAGGTACCGCTACTGAATACCCAGGGTAGCTGTCCTTGCCTTTCGCAAGTTGCGAATATGTGGTCCAGCTGAAGGCTCGTCGATGGACCTCTCATACGACGCTACATTTGTAGAGATTATCCCTGCTTTACAATTATCTGTCTCCGAATTTTGTGTTAGCTGTGTCATTTTAGCGTGACGCTAGATCACGTACATATAAGGTTTTAGCTATGTAAGTTATATACATAAACCTACTACTTCTATCCACAACAAGTATACTTTGGTTCGGCTTAATTCACTACAATTGGTTAGAGGCAGCGACCAGGTAGAGTTGGGCTCGAAGATCTTCCCTATGCTTAGTCAGAGACCAAGAGTTTGCGTAACCTAAGTTACGTAACGTAACTGACGTCTGACGTTCGCATCAACATGAGTGAGGATTTCACAGTGGAAACATTATCTTCGGATTGAAACATTCAATTTGGAAGTTTCGCTTCAAGGCTGCATTCGCTGGCTTACTCAGACTGGTGTTGACGCAATAGCTGTATGCATGGTAATCACAATGACAACACTCCAACGCGACATGACTCAGTCCACGGTCGAATAAATTGGTAAATGATGTTTCCCATCGAGAGACATCATCGATTACTACCGAGCATCAGCCTCTCAGTTCATTCAATAAACTCTATTGATTGGAACGCGCTTACTTAGCGTTCGAGAAGCGGTTCCATTGTGTTCACGGAGAACATGCGTTCTGAACATCCGCAGGCCTCAACTCCATCGCCGCCTTGCACAAAATGATGCTCTCGTTATGCACACGAGAGAGATATAGCGCCCGGGGTGGATCTATGCCTGTCCCTAGGGTACGTCATTTGAAAAATCGTGTATCCTTCGCTCTAGGATTCCGCCGCTACTCTGAGAGACGGTGAACGTGGCTGCGTCTGTGATTAGGAAGAAAGCTTTTTGAATGCATAAGGAGACAGTATCAAGGCCACAAAGGTTCGAAAGCGGCTTATTCGCCAGTATGAGGACAACATATTCGAAACGTGTTAATTAAGGTATCCATAATGTAGTTGACATCTACTAGATGTTCACGGCCTTCTGATCGCGTCCTCCTTCAATCCATCTTCAACGGTTACTGTAGATTAGATGATGAAGAATCCTCAGATGATTTTGGCCACTCATCTTCATTGAAGATGAGGTGCCGAAATTTTTAATGCTTCCACACCTATACCACTCAATTCTGTGGATCCCAGGGCGTCATAAGTTACTTATGAGATGACACCGGGACGTACAGAATTTGTGGCAGAAATGCACCGTCCTAGCTGATGTAAAAAACACGATCAACACGCCCAGGGACAAGAAGTTGAGTTGACTAGGTTATAACCAGGTATCCGACATACGTACAGAGAGGTCACTGTATGGGATAGGAATCACCAGAGACGACGACTATCGCGGGAAGACTACGACAGGAGACTGCGTTACGAAATTTAGTGGAGGACGTATAGAGGGCACATAAGAGCTACACCTACCGAGCATCTGTACAGCAACCACTTATGATCCAGATCCAATAGCTAAAAATACTACAAAGCGGTTGCGGAACGCAAAGATACGGTCTGTAGCACGCGGTGAAGGATCGCACAGGAGATAGGGACAGTGCGCTGTAGCGGAGCGAAGCAAGTCACATCCAAAATTTTCGAAAAGTGCGCACTTGACGATGTACGCGCGGCCCGTGCGTACCATCCCGTGCGGCACGGGATGATAGTTGGTATACCCGCGGTTCGTATAGATCTCATCAGGCGTCCTCTGGATACTTGGGGACTCATGGGCATGTATGTCCCGTACTGGATCCGCTCAGAGCCCTTCCTGCTTAAAGCGAGGAGGAGTTCCCTTCCGACCAGTTGACATTTCCCGTCGATGAAGGTCAAGGTTCTACATCGAGATCCTTCCGAGTATACCATTACCAAGCCGGGCGGTATACAAAAATACCAGCGCAACGCGGATCCCGTTTTGCACCCATTCGACCGAGCCACTGAGTAATGATGGCGTCCAGAAAGTGGTGACGTAGTATCGTAGATTTTCATAGATACACCCGAGCCTTGAATGGAGCGAAGATACAGAAGATGTTCGCCAAGCCGTTCCTCTGTGCCCTAGAGGGCCACACTGATGCCGTTAAATGCATGACCAGATGCAGGACCGTGATAGCACCTCTATTCACTGGCAGTTGCGATGGCGAGGTACTCCAGAGAGATCAGGCTTCATCACATGACCTCTTCAGATACGATTCTGGAACGTCGGTCAGCGGAGGTGCTTCAAGTCAGTGCGAGCTCACGAAGGTTTCGTTCGTGGCCTGTGTACTACTAGTGATGACTCCCTCGTCGTCAGCGCTGGTGAGGACAAGACTATCAAACTGTGGAAGTAGTATTGGGAGCAGTTTTACTATCGCTGATGACGATGCTCAATTATAGATTCGACCCAGATGAGGCGGTAGGGGAGATGCTTGATGAGAAGTTCAGTACCGTCGGAGCCCTTCAGTCGGGCTCATCGGCATCTCTCCATAACGACCAGGTTGTGCCTGCTCACGTTCTCAACTCGGTAATAACTAGTGCTCTTGGAGAGCAGTGGACTTGTTAATTTCCAGTCTTCTATGCTGTCGTCGATCGATGCCCATTGGGGTAAGAGCTCTATGCTAGCCACTGCTGGGGAGACTGTGGACATCTGGGACTACAATCGGTACTGTCTTTCCCTCCAGTCTAGCGTCATGACGGCATCGTCCTCCTTGTAGGACTACACCCCTTTCTACCTACGAATGGGGTACGGAAGCTACTCTTAGTGTGAAGTTCAACCCTTGTGAGGAGTGCCTTCTTGGTACGACTGCTATGGACAACTCTATCGGCCTCTTCGACGTCCGTATGCAAAGTGGTTTGAGAAAAGTACTACTGTTGGGCAAACGGAGATGGTCTTATCGTAACAGATGCGGGGACGCGTTGCTGTTAAGAGCTCCATGAACAGTAATACAACTATGCAGGTGCTCTAGGTGCCCATAGGCGTTTTATCGCTAATCAGCGATATATTAGAAGATCAATGTAACTGTCGCAATCTAAATAGAACCACCTTACATGGGATGCGGTCGCATAGATGCTTTACGACCCGTTACTTCTCTCGCCATGACACGCTGAAGTTGAAAATGATAATAAATATATTCCGAACATTTTCTACTGTGAGCATCCGAGCTGTGTATATCTAACACACTGTCCGGAACTCGTATAGGGCTAAGGCCGATACTCGGTACCGTAGGTGGTCCTTCGTAATCGAAGCAACGCTTTCTGCTGGAATCCTCGTCAACCTCTGCGGTTTAGTGTAGCCAACGAGGATGGCAATCTGTATACTTTCGACATGAGGTAATGATATTATTATGGATCTCATCGTATCTGAGAAGCTAACGCTGTTAGGAAGCTTGATTCGGCTGTGTTCATTCACAAGGGACACGTGCGGGCAGTGCTGGACCTTGATTACAGTCCTACTGGTGAGGAATTGGTCTCTGCTGGTTACGACAAGACCATACGGATCTTTAACTACGAAACACAACGTTCGAGGGAGGTGATACGGGTGCTTAGTGGGCTAACCTTATGTCAGCTGATTTGAATGCGGCTTCGGAGTGAGTTTTTCGGAACCAGTGTACTGGATAACTTCAATAGCTCTCCTTGGGCATTTGTTGTCTTGCAGTTTTGCGACAATCAGGTGTATCACACGAAACGAATGCAGAGAGTACTGTGCTGTCAGTACAGTGGTGATGGTCGGTTTGTGTTTAGTGGGTCGGAGGACTGTAATATTCGGGTGTGGAAAAATGAGGTAGTACCAAGGATCGAACCTGCGCGGTTTGCCAACGTTTTCGCCTCGCACAGGCTTCTGACAAGTTGGGCGTTGTGAGCAAGCGGGAGAAGAAGGCTCAGGCATATCGAAAGAAATTAGTTGCGAAGTACAAGCATATGCCGGAGATAAGACGGATTGCAAAGTAATATGGTGTACTCACCGGGGTTCGAACCAGGAACCTTCCGTATTTACAGTCACAAGCATCTCCCGAAGGCTATTAAGCTGCGGCAAGATAGGATGAACATAATGGACGAGGCTCAGAAGAAAAAGGAAGCAAATAGGGTGAAGAACTCAAAGCCCGGCAGCAGGCCGAAAGTCGGCGAGAAGCAGAAACCTATTCTGCGGCAGCTGAAGTGATAATGCATTTGTATCCAACTGTATCACTGGCCACACGTTTCTATCTAGTGTTACCGCCCTGTGTTCTGGAGTTAATGAGTTCAAGACGTGACGGAAGAGTGGTATCAATACCACCGATGGTGAACCCTACAATGTGGAAACACTAGTCGGCACCCATACGAAAGGCCCCTCGAAGAGTTCTATAAATACTTACCCCGGACGATGAAAGTGACCACAGAACTCACGACATAGATGTGGTCATGAAAATACATTCCCATAAGCCTTGTCGACTTACTAACACAAGATTCTCGGCAGAAATATGACTCGGTTTATAATGTTATAGTGAATGTGATAGTGTGGAGTTCAAGTTGAATGGGCCATAGATGCTTATCAAGGCGTAGAAGAGCCGACATCATACGACTGCATCATAGCAAGGAACTCTTGGAAGTCGATGAAGCCGTCGCCATTCGTATCGAACTCCCGAATAATTTCAGCTACAGACTGCTCATCCAAATCGTCCTGCTGGGCAGTACCCATTATCTGCCTGAGCTCGTCCGACGATATCTTCCCGTTCTGCTGTCGATCGAGGATCCTGAACGCCTTTCTACACAAGTCGATGCGAGAAAATGTAACCTGCGATATGGCAGCAGCCAAGAACTCTGTGTAATCAATAGCGTCACTAGCATCAGTGTCGATACCAGCGAAGAGCTCATCAATCTTCGCCTCTCTCATACCTGGTCTCGCCCTCTTCATAGCCTCTCGGAACTCTGGTAGGGTTATTGTTCCGGAACCAGTCACATCCAGTGCTTCAAACGTACTGTTGATCTCCTTGATCCACGCCGCGCAGCTGCACACCGACAAATTATAAGCAATGGCGTTCACGGCTACTTTTCGTAATTTGCTAGCGTGAACGAAGGTCTCGAAGGTCTCAGGACTCAGATGGACCTTATCGGCGTTAGGTCGATACCGCTTCATCCAGGGATGCTCCCAAGCTTCAGCGGCAGTCAAGCGTTTACCACAGTCCTTCTCCATCAAATGCCTGATGAGGTCCTTCGCCTCCTCTGAAACATTTCCCCACCACTTCTCTGGAAACTCTATCCCTTGACTTTTCGTGATTGATTCCAACACTTCGCCGGTAGTAGCGCCTCTGAAAGGCGGATAGCCACCCAGAAGTACAAAAAGGAGGACTCCCAAGCTCCACATATCCATCCCAGTGTGATGCTGATGACCAGCGATGATCTCAGGGGCCACGTAATAGGGAGTTCCCACCAGACCGTGGAGCCTCTGGGCCTCCTTACCAAAGTCATTGACCAATGATATCCCACCAGGAGGCACGTCGTTGACGGCATCGCGCTGAGTGCTGACGATATCCACCTTTGGCAAGCCACAGTAGCGGAGCTCGAACCGTGACACCCTCCGAGCACCCAAGTTGATCTCACGAGTCTGGCCCTCGCAGGAATTCAGCGCACAGGAGTTCTGAAAAACTCGGGCACTGAAACCAAAATCGATCAACTTGACAGGTGACCGCGGACAAGGCGTTGAGAGGAGTATGTTCTCAGGTTTGATATCGCGATGGATGATGCCCTTACTATGACAATAGTTAACCGCCGACAGCAGACCCCTGAGGATCCTAGCAGCCTCTGGCTCTGAGAGATAACGCTCCTTAAGAAGGTACTCGGTCAGATCAGGCCCTCGACAAAGCTCCATGACCAAATAGAACGACATACTGTCCTCATAGATCTCATACAGTTTACAGATGCTAGGATGATCCAGACGCCCCATAGCGCCCACCTCACGCTTCATCTGTCGATTGACGATAGATATCTCCTCGAGGCTACACGTCCCACCGCTGAGGGCGGCATCACACTTGGGGATTATTTTGATAGCCCGGTGGTCTCCCGTAGCACGACATACGGCTTCACAAACCGACCCTTGAGAGCCGTTCCCGATCACACGCTGGAGCTCGTATTCCCTCAAGAGCTTCTCTGGACCATGACGGTCCTTGTCTCTCCGGTCGATGATCAACGTCTGGCGTCCTCTAACGAATAGACTACCAGGTTGATTCTCCCTCTTCAGCGCTCGATAGGCTCTCTCATGAGACACCGACTGTTCGAACTTCTGGTGCGGACTAGTAGCATCAGAGCTACAGCTGGTGCTATCACCAACGGACATCTCAGGGCTCATCGTAGACCTTCGTCGCATTGTACAGACTCCACCCGAACAGGATAACACCCTCTCACTCAGACGCTCGTCAGTAGTGACAGTAGCCACATGGCTGATGCTACTGTCGTTCACAGATGGTGGCTCTGTCAGCGAGATAGGCATCAGAACTAAAGTGAACAAACCTGGGATTGAAACAGAATAGAACGTAGCGGTCCACTACACTTTGCTTAACGTTTAATTCGTTTCTGCAACGACCAATTTCGAGGGGATGCACAAGTTTGGAGAAAACGGTTCGAAATGGAAGTATTATACTGACCTTTCGAATTTGCCACAGATGAGCTATGCCAGTGGCTACGCTACTGATGCTTAACCATAAACGGGTATGTCTAACACCTCTTCAGGATAACGAGACCTCCCACTGTGGATCACACAAGCAGATCGAACCTCTCATGCATTCGCGATGAGAGAATTTCGTCGAAAACGATTAGCGCTCGCCCAAAGGAAATCTCGGCGTGAAGCACGTGTTCAGAAGACGTATGTGTACGTGTTTGTGGTTCAACTTGTACCATTTATTGCTCGTTAGATATGGACAAATTCTATCTGATTTGCATGCATATGGTGCATGATACACCGTGTATCTGCTGTGTTGTTAGGCAGACAATCGCATACACCCTGTGTTTGTCTTTCAACCTACGGGCAAGCCTCTTGTCCCCCAACACCGTTGGTCCACTTGTCGAGAATATTTAGCCTACTGCAATCATCACCACACTTGCAGACACTCCCTATCGGACTCATGCTACATTTCCTGAGAGTATCTACCACAATGCATACCGAACACTATTCCAGCTCTCCACACAAAATGCTCAGTGTGCTTTTCACTCCCCCTAACGAGTGATTTCGATTCTTTTGACATATTGTCACACACGACAGATGTCAGCCAAGGTGGCCAACTAGAGAGTTACGGATTGTCGTAGCACAAGGGCGCACCGAAGTTGATCAAACTTGAGCATTACGTGGGAAACTCGACAGATCTCATGTGCCAGGATAGTCCTTCAAGGACTTTGACTTTAGTCGAGTAGTATGTGCTTAACTTTAAATATTCCCAGCACTTTATACGACATATGCTTACGGGATAGAGTTGCCATATGCGGCAATATATACTCAAGACAGTTTAAACATGGGTAAAATTAACTTCATACTTTCCATTTACACTTCAGCGTGTGGTGGATGAAGACAGTGCTCCTCAGGGGAAGCCAGCAGGGCACGTGCATTGCTCGCCAGTGTCAGTTAAACCGGTACTTGATTCGACACCTTGTAGTTGGCGGATAGTCTCGGTCCTCACGAACTTAGGGGCGATGAAGATCTCTTCTCGGTCAGGACAAGCTCTGAAGGAATTCACAGCGCTTACGCGAGCCAAGCGTCGTACAACTCCATGACTTACCTTTTATTGAGCGTTGTGTCAAAGGGGGAGTCGCGGTAAAAGCCAGGCATGCACCAGCAGACCTGAAGATCTTCAAACCAGTTGTACTCGCACCAGCTGGGAGGACTATCCTTCGGGTACCCTAAACAGAAGGACACATTCGTATACAAACATAGCATTGACTATCAAATTACAGGAGAATGCGCGGTGTTCATATGCATCCCAGGAAGTCGGGCATGTAGCGTTCAGCTCAGGACCGTGAGGAGGGAGCAATACATATTCAGGCTTCTTCTCGTAGCACCTTCCAACGAGCAACTTGTGAAGACCCGAGAGGCCATCCTTACAGCCAATCCCTATTCTTCCGTCCATGATCATTTCCTTTGTCGTTAGGGTCTAATCGACACTCTGAGAACGGAGCCGTGACGGAAACGAATTCAGTCGCGCAGTGCCCACCAAATTTCTTAGGAGCATCGGTATAACCCTTGTCGTCCTGATGCTTCTCATGGAGTCTAATACAAAACCTACACCAACCCATAGTGATCTGACGTCCTTCATTAGTGGTACAAACTTACTGCTTGATCTTCTTCTTCCGAACACCGTACGTCTCTGCATCTTTCCACTTACCATTACAGTCGGACTTGCCATCCTTAGTCTTCACTTTTCCACGACCATTGGCGTACAAGTTGAAGTCTACGTCCTTCGCGGCGGCCTTCGCTTTGGGCTGCCCTAAGCAGAAAGATCATCACAAACGCAGGCAACCCCACGAGAGTTAGAAAGCGACTCACATCGCCTCTTATCCTCATCTGCACGCATCAACTTAACTGCCGAAGTACGGTACAGCACGATAAGACTCGCGGCCAGGATAGACGACGCTTTCCAGAGCCATACCATGGACGTAGTAGACAGGACAGACAAACTGAGACGACAGGGACAGTAGTCGAGTTCGAATAGTGGAAGCTAGCGAGTTAACGAAGCAGGCACTCATCTTGATCGTATAGTAGCGGCGAATTGACATATCGTGGAAAAGATGAAACGGTCATCGGCGAGCGAAAATGTGAGCCGTTTCACTGTCATGTTACTCGTAACTATATTTCGCCAAAGCCGCTGTAGCCAAGGGTAGCATTTATCGTGACGTAGTCAACGAGGCATCGATAGCAGCAACAGTCATTCGAGACGTTCGTGTTCACTGTCAAGTACATCTCACCCGGTAGCGGGGAAGTGGAGAAGAATCGAACTAACTCGCGTTGGGTTGCGCATCATCGCTTCTATAGGACGCTCGATGGCTTAGAGCAGCTTGAAGGAGACTAACTAGGTTCGTTTGTCGTTCGTGATGTGATCCACGACAATGTAGCCTTTTGGTGATGTGGAATGTATGAACCATACGGTTGTCCTCTATATCACTCTTGTCACCCTATGGCTCTGCATTCCTCCTATAGTGAGTTCGGTTATTTCCCAGGAAAGTGGGGTGACACTATGTGTTACCACCAACACTGGAACATGCTGGTCAGCGATTCTACTCCATTCAATCCGATTGAATTCGTCGATATGCTTGTTTTGCCGAGTAGTTCACAAAATCCCATATCATTTCCAATGTCGCGACATATCCTTCTTACACCACCATAATGGTCCTCCAGCAACTCTTTCGTCGCAACGAAACTGCTGATCGTTGGTCGCTGTCTCCGCATTAGTTAATGCTTCCTCCTTGCGATATGTTATTCTCGATTTCATGATTGTCTTGACAACCCTCGTCACGCTTTCAAATAACACTAGCAACCCAAATCCTCAATGATAACAGCATTCGAAACAACATCTGGTACATACGCTTCTCTACTCTCGATGTTGGTGTTCAGGAACCTCTCCTCGGGAAAGCATTCCGATTAGCTTCCCCGATAGTATCTGATCACCGACTTCTATTCCCGAGCTGATTTCTCTTCTCACCTTCAACAGAATCAAGAGTAAAACGAGAACAAGGACAAGCACTGTGAGTTGAACAGTTGGGGGCTCGGGCCAACCGCGAGGAATCTGATGAGATTACTAATCATCCCAAGAAATGTTGCATTCTGCTACTTTGATAAATGGACATTCGAATTGAAAGACGGCTCCAATAAATCGATGGTCCCGACTCGCACTCAAAGCATACATTCCGCATCGGCAACAGTCCATCACGTACGCTAGGAAGGCAACCCCCACGCCCACCACCGAAGCCGTCACATGAGGTGCAGGTACGACCGCTGACCCTACACAGAACGACCCATTGAGTTCAACAACAAGATCGTCCCCACCTCCTTTTTCCATCCCCTGTAGCTCTTCCTCGTCCGGGGATTTTCCTATACTATCTGCAGTCCACGGATTGTTCTCAAGTAACATGTCCATCACTCGAGCTTCCAACTACCACAAACGCCCATTCTAGCAGCATTCGCAAGAAGCTAATCTCACCTCAGGATCAGCAAATTGGTCTAAGGGATTCACCTCCCAAGGAAACACGACTGGCGGCCGTTTAGACAGATTTTCCAACCGCTCGAGCTGAGCGAAGACACCAGATAGGATTGGTCTCTCAAGTGGGAGCTTACGGCCAGAGGATAATCCTTGTAATTGAAAACGTCCATCATCGCTAGCTCATACATGCACTGGTAGTCTCCGAGGACATCAGCTCCATAAGTTGCCCACTTGTACGCAATCTCATCAGCACCCTCCTCATCTGAGCCTCGATATTTGCTAACTAAATACAATACTACATGGGGACAATCCTAAGTCTTTCAACGTCAATTCGATCCCTTCTCTAGTCAAATTTGCACAGAAAATAAATATAAACTCTCCCGAGTTGTCGACTCGGCGAACAACCATACCGTCGGTAGGGTGGGTGTTGTCGGTATGATACCGACAACACCGTGCTAACGGTATGATAACAAACAAATATCACGAACATGCGTGCTAAACTACGCGCTGCTCGAGCCCTTACTTAAAGCCCTCACACTATAAGCATCATAGGACCCCAGAGCAGCCCTCATCCTATAGGTCTCCGAGAGAAGCTTCTGATGATGACCAAACCCTTCTTCTCGTCGCCAAAGACGAGCAGTTAGCCCTTCACTCTGCACCAGTCGGGAACAGTCTGCAGTCCATTGACAGTATTCACTCTCAGGATGATAGACCGCGTAACGACCTGAATGCAGCGATCCTTAAGTCCACCTAGGTTTACCACCTACAGTGGTGATGAGCTCGACATCCATCAACACATGCAAACTCTCCATCAACAACTCTGGCATACCCCTCGGGGTCGTCGTGAGAGCAGTACCATCCACGTTCAGGACTTAGGCTGAGCACCTTGAAACAGCTTTCGATCACGACGTTGACGATATTCGTGCGAAAAATGGTATCGAAACTCTCACCCAACACTGGCTTCCACGTACTCGAAAATGCTCTCTATTTCAAAGTGCGTTCCACAAGCTCGAGCCTTACATCACTAGGAGCGTCCACACCCACCTGCCAGCCCACTGCCTCCACAGGAAGGCCCCTCTCCTCAACCAATCGAGCTGCATTAACATGACCAGACTTGAGTCCCATTTCCGAGCCGAACAAGGCAGCCAGGAGTCTAATATCACTCGACGTATGTGTGTGCGACTAGAAAAACATACATGACCACCACCAACATCCGATATACTATAAATGCATGCTCCTCACAAAAGCTGTTCCAGAGAGGTGCTCATTGACGTCAGAATAGCAGACATATTCGCATGATTTCTCCCAAACCACGGGTACCCAATTGGTACGAAATCATGAGATAAACTTTGGAGGGTGGTAAATTTTCAGAATGATGGAGTTTCACGACCCGTTTTACGTGAAGTGGCGTAAAACTCGGTGAAGAACGCGATATTCGCGGTGATATGCAGTAGTCGTAAAATATGTTTTTCACTAGTGTTTTTCATATCACTAGGGTGAAACTCCAATATTTATAAGCTTATATTTCTTTATAATTTTCATGTAGATCATAAAAATATGGCAATTCCGAATCTATGAGTGTTTCCGTGCGGAGCGTTTCCTACGGTGAGAAACAATGGAACAGTTTCTCCTGGCTTTAGAAAAGAATAACCAAACCTCGAGTCACTCAAGTCTCCAATACGGCAATGTACAAAACATAAGCAACCAAAGATCACTCCGTTACGAAGGATTTGAATGCGTGCCCAATGGAATCTTTACGCACTATAAAGATTTTCCAATACCAACAACATCTCGATACCCAGTCTGTCACTATAAAGTCAACTTACAATTCCGTCCAATATCCGCAGTGTCCGGTGATAGCGCTTAATCACCGCTAGTAGCCGCTCCAGAGCATCGGCGCAGTCCATAGTAGTAGTCCCCTCAGGACTCGCCACGGTTTCCAGTGCTGGTCTTAGCTTTTCCAATACTATATTATATCGTAGCTGCTGCAGGGACGCATGCACCTCTGCGGGGCCTTCTTCCATGTCATCCAAGGACGACTAAAAGGAACGATTAATCTTCACAGCAAGATGCAACTATGTCCACATACCACTCCTCCGGCAACTCCCGCTGCGATACTCTCCTCATCAGAGAGGAATGCCGTGAGCTCGTCGATCTGCTCCTGAGCTGACCAAGCCATACTTCGGTCAATTCAACATTACTTCGATTTTCATACATTTGGAGTTTCACCCTAGTGATATGAAAAAAACATTTCCCGACTACTGCATATCACCGCGAATATCGTCGCGTTTTTCACCGAGTATCACGCCACTTCGCGTAAAACGGGTGAAATTCCATCGAATTCATTTCACCATACACCCGGGTGTGAAAATTTGCACATGCTCGACGACGTGTGATTGTGACACTATAAAAAATTTTCAGGAAATTTTTTTGGGAAGTTTTGCCGAGCCTTTTTATCCGTACGAGGTCGGGTAGAAGTGTATAGAAATTAAAAAGGATTTCCCAAAATTTCCTCAGAATTCGCACTAACACGTAGTTATCCACACTGCCATACCCTACCCCCCACGCCCCCAAGGCACGATACTTACTAAGGTAGCCTTCTAGAGTAGACCACTGATTATGTGGTAGTAACTGATACGACCAGTGTTGAAATACATGTTCGCTTCCCTCAACTCAGCGAACTAGTTTCCTCACAACTTTATATCAGAATTCTGGTAGAAAGGTACAGAAACCAACGAGAATTACCCAAAATCTCCTCGAAATTTCCATATTGTCTACTAACATGTAGTTGACCATCTTCATATTATGAAAATTTTGAGGAGATTTGGGGTAGTTCTTATTGGAAAATATTATTTTCCCACTCTACATACATGAGTATCACTAATGAGTACTACCTCCAACCACGAGTAGTACATAGACACGTCATCGTCCGGAGCCGGCTTCCCAGGACGGAGATAGAGGGAACGAGCATCAGCATCATTGAGAACTCTAAGGCGATCCCAACCGATATTGCCCATTACTGCTTCCGCGATGGGATATGCCTAAGTCGACCCATCCCCCCTCTCCAAAGGGGTATGTCACTTAACCATCCTAGCGATCTCCATACAGGTCTCCTCATCATTTTCCACCGGTACAGATTCACCACGTAGCACAGCTTCAACGGCCGGGGGCCGCATGGCTGCCAGCGAGACTGTAGAGGCCGACTCATTCTGGTATCCAAGCTGGTATGACGATATCAAGGCCAGGGCGCCCAGGGAACCTATGCAGTGAACAAATATCTTAGGTTGTCAACATAAGGATACGGATGAGGTCCGTTGGAGGAACATATGTTCACTTTTCTCAGCTGAGCGCAGGAGGCGTACATACAATTTCGGGTGGAAATACACAGCAACCAACAAAAATTCTTCAAAATTTTCTCAGGATTTTCATTTCATCACCAACACATGTACAGAGTGCCTCAAATAAAACACGATATTGCATGAAACTCAAATTCAAAGATACCATTAGAAAGTGCTCACCAAGATCTCTCTCACTAGAAAATTCGTTGAATTCTGCAAGTTACATACAATAGCACATTTTTTTCCGAGGGCAGCGTGTAGTTGACCATGTGCATATTTTTCTAATGAGGTCCCTCACAAGTGCGAAATTTATGTACTTCTACTTGACTACTGTACTACCCCACTACGACACTTTTGTAAAAAAAAATCGACTACGACACTGCAATTACCCCAACTCCTGTACTACATCCCATCGCCGCGCCCTTGCGATAGAGCCTCATTGCTGGTGGCAGCTCATGCCTTGGTTGTGTATTCCCTCCTAGATTCTGAGACACTATAATAATTGTAGTTTCCAAGAGGTCCTCATATAACCTCCACGAGGACTAGGATCCGCTGTATGTGCTCAGCTGATATCAGAGCCTCCCCAGTGTTCCCATCGACGAGAACCCCAGTGGACAATATGAGACCGAGGATGGAGTAGCATGAACCAATCTGGTCTGATCATGAAGGCCAACTCTTATAGATACGATTCCTACGATACTCGGGACTATTGCTGGATTAGGATCCCGAGGTGCGCTAGGCTTAACGGCAACAGCAATGACCACGAGAGTAACCCGACGCGATAGCTCATATACGAGGCAGGTCTACTACTACTACTACTACTACTACTACTACTACTACTACTACTACCACTACCACTACTACTACTAGTACTACTACTACTACCACTACTACTACCACTACTACTACTACTACTACTACTACTACTACTACTACTACTACTTCCTCCCTTCCCTATAGCAGACATAATTTCATTGATAACACTGCCAACCCTTTCTCGAGTTGTCTCCCATCCAGGGTTCTCTCTAAAAAGATGCCCGAATGCTCTACCACAGAGATCCGCATGCTCATGACGACTCAAGGGGGCCTAAGGAAAACGTCATACGTTCAAACGAATATGATGCCGATTGAGACCCCAACGCCTCGCGAGGTTCACACTAGAGCTAGAGACTACTACATCTCCTCTCAGCACGGTAGGATCCACTTGATTCTCCAGCTCCCGAAGAGTCTGATCGAGAGCACCACACTGATAAAACTAGGGGTTAATATCCAATCTATGGCCGTTACGAGACTATTCACATAAAACTCCTCATCGTGTGGTGAGAAGTGATCAGCAATGGATGTGATAGAGATTCTATCCAAACAGAATTGGCATCTCCGAGCGAACACTGTTACCAATTCCAAGTCTCCTGGTGGTATTTCGGCGTTATCCACGACAGCACCATCCGGCAGTCTATACTGACCACCCGATAGCATAGGCGTCACAACCCATGGGTCTTGGCCAAGGTCATCGATCACACCCTCCTCCTCCAGAGTAGCCGCAACCCCTATTATGAGGAGTGCTGCTCGCACGCTACCCAGCATACGATGATAAAAATGACTGCACTGGGTCTATGTTCATCGTGAATTGTATTAACCCCAGCACTAGACTGCTCACTCAGGAACACAAGACTAGCTATAATACTTAATCATTATATCTATGCTCTGTTGAAGTTTCAGCTCAAAACTCTCATTAGTTTACGAGAAACGCAGACTTTTTGAATTTGCCTAAGAAAAAAATACACTCCTTATATGAGGACATGGAGGGCATCATCTGAATCCATGAGTATAGTGACCAGTGTAGAAAAATATGTACATGGTCAACTACATGTATTGGTGATAATATGGAAACTCTGGAAGATTTTTTTGGGAAATTCTCATTGGTTTCTGTACACTTCTACCCAAATTTGTATGTAAATTTATACAACTAGCGAGGTCAGGTGAGAAAAGCGAAGATATATTCCAACACTGATGGTGACACCGATGGGAACATGATTGATGGGTAACCTCAGCTGAATGAAAATTGAGTGAGAGACCAGTCCAACGGCAACGTGCTATGAGCGCTTGAGAATTCCAGCTCTGGTGGTGACACACTAAGGTAGACATGAGATCCCTCCGGGTCTAGTGAGCGTGGAGTGAGGAGACACCAATAGAAGCGGATGGCAAGGCTATACAAGTACGATAATTTCTCTATAAACCTTCACGACGCTCAATACTAGCACGCGTACAATTCGCAAGGGTCGCGATCTAATACGGGTAGGGTCGAAAGTATACTCGACGGCTATGAGCTGAGACGTCCCCTACTTCACACACCGGATTGCTATCTGCTGGTTTATGGGCACATCCAAACTTGTTTGATAAGGATCCAATAACGTGATACGCTAGCACCAGAATTCCCCCGCCTACCTCAATGCGGCCGAAGTCCTCACCCAAAGCTTCTTATGTGGGGTAACTATTCTCGGTTGGGGCGAAGCGTGCTCTACCAAAGCCGTGCCCAAGAGATAATGACGATGCCGACTTGCAAAGGACGAATGCTTGACAACTGGCCCTGCCATGGCCGCTACGGCGTATCTTAGGAATGTTTGAAAATTTTAGTGAAGCTTAGAGTACAGCTGAAAATTGTGCACGGTTCATCAGCAACAGTGTGACATAGAGCAGATTATTCCAACATTCCCACAATGGCAAGAAGCTCTCGTTTATTGGCGAGCAGCCAAGCCCTTCCGTTTAGATCTGCTTAACAAGTGAGAAGGCGCGCATTAGGTCGAGCCTTAAACAAATTCAGGGGTCCTCCTCCCATTTCAGACGTCATTGAAAGTCACTGATCTCCTCTGGATACAGGCTGGGGTCAATTTCCTAATAACATGGTAGTATGAAGCCACCAGGAGGTACAATTGAAGTAGTTTATTGTTAGTTATCGAACCCACTCAGGCCCACTTGCTCAGCCCAGCCGACTGAATCTATGCCCCCCATCCTCGACAACATCAGAAGTTTCACTCTAACGGTTCACAGACGGGCGTCAAACGGATATATATGTAAACGTGGAGCACTCGAGTTAGACATTAGCTGTGCTCTGTGCACGCACGAACATGTCAGCAGAAACTTCACAGTAAGTCGCTATCGTCTAGTGGTTAGGACGTCACGTTGTGGCCGTGACAACCCCGGTTCAAATCCGGGTAGTGACTACTTTTCTCCCATCTATTTTACGTATTAGCCTCCTCGGCCTCTCTTCCAAAGCACCCCTCCAACCAATCTGGAACTCCCCACATACACCATCATCCTCACAGTACCCATGTACGAGCCCCACTTATCGAAACTGACGCCTCTAACCCGTATCTACCACATAGGCACTCTAACCCTGCCTATCACCAGTTTGCACCATGAGGAACCTTCATCACGCTGCTGGTTGTATCAAACAACTTGTATGGTCCCATGCTCAACAGTGAGACGTCACCATCGACGATGATGACCAACCACCGCACACCAACAGTGTTCTACACGATGAACAATTCGACTGACTCAAAAACTCTGTCCCCAAGTTAGAGGCAACAGCTCAACTCTGTCCGTCCCGACTAACACAACTACCAGACCGGCAACTCACTGCAACGGAGTGTTCATTCCTGAATGGATTCGTTCCCAAGGGCCGACAGAACAATACTGGGCTCAAATATGAGAGTAGCGTAATAAACCCAACCCCGAGATTGTGTAATTCTCACAGACCTCCACTCGTTTCCCTAGTACTCTGTATTCGACGTACCGGGTATTCTACCGCTACCCGGTTTCGTACCAGTTATACCGACAAACCGATCCCGGCAGCATCTACAGACGATCATCTACATAATTCCCATGGCGGGCTCTAGCATCGCTCGCTCATACTGGGGTTTATTGAGCATACTACTAGTAGTGATATTACTGATGTTATTTACTAAGAGAGTACTGATGGTCATAGGTGTCATTCATATACTCATCCGAGTATCCGTTTGCATCAGGGCACTGAGCCGGACTCCTCCGATGTGGACACTCTATGACACTACGAGAAGCCGCAACCGCATCCCGATAGTGATCAGTACTCCCGACTGATTCCGGCTCATCCATAAACACAAGTTAGCTCATCGACATGTGTGAAAACGATGTGAAATTGAGTCTCGAAAAGAGTCCAGATAATCAAAAGTTGGCTGTCCGATGATCGCGCAAGATGGTTCTTTTTCGAGGAGAAAATCCGGGAAGATAATCGATGAAATCGGTATATGAAATCCATGTTACATCAATTCATAATACTACTAATACTGAGTATGCCACTCCTCGTAGAACTCCTTCTGCTCATGCGAACCGTCATAACTGAATACACGTTTACGCTCAGGGATATCGGGCATCACTTGTACGATGCCATCCGACGAAGAAGACCTTCCACGTCGGCTGAGCTCTCTGAAAAACAAAGGGAAAAGCAACTGGCATTATCACGCCATTCAAAAATTCAACCCTGGCCGATTGGGACAACTCTTTAATCGAGGCGCGTATGGATCCTTCGCGACGATCCCGGAAAAATATGGTATTCAACAATAAATAGGATCAACTTCCCATGAATTCATACTAATTAGTCTGAGTACACTCAAAGTTATCGTCTCTGGACCCTCATTTCCCATGTCGGAATTTCTCTCAGATTCGACGCAGACGTCGAGAATTTCACCCTAAACTCTCTAAAGAGCGTCGCTTTCTATCGCCCAACCCACTTGAGCTGACTAGGCGGGGATTCGCCATAGGTTGGAGTGATGAACGCCTCAAGGGCCTCTTTCATTTCTTGTGTACCGTCCGTTGATCGGGCGATTATCTCGAAACTTTCCTGGAAATCGCCCTTACCTAATCCCATCGAGTTCCATCGCGTCCCGCAAGGTCAGCAAACTACCTGGGTTCTTCGAGTTCATGTATTCGCGGGTGCCCTTCAGAGCCGACACAACAGCGCTGTAGTCACCCGATACGCAACAACCACCTTTATCCGAGTCACACTTGATGTCAGGCACCGACCTAAGAATGAATCCAAGACTGAGTCCTGCGACTGCTATAGACCTCACCTGAGGAAGCCAGTCATTTCATCAATATTTTTACGCTGTTCTCGCCTGGGCACAGGGCCGACTTTCTTAGCTCTAACTTCAACAACAACGACCTGAAAACCATCTAGGGATGAAGAATGATCGAACTCAGTAGTGAATCGACGAATCAATCCGCAACGGTTGTTAATCTCAACTTACCATTGGCAAGAGGGTAAAGGACAACTTCTAAGGACCCTGGCCTTCACAAGGCGCTGTCACGAGAGATGTGCTGCAAATGCAGACAGAACTACTAGTGTTCTCGCTCGCCCTGATATCGAGAGGGGCAGCCCCTCAGGGGCCTTGGTCGACCTGGGGCGGTATGCGGATACTGATTCGAGAATCACAGGCACTGATTCAACTCACTATCTGATTTCCGATTTTGATTCAACTCACACCATGATTCACAAGTGTTGATTCAGATTCCGTATTCATGAGTAAGATTCATGATTCGTGAGTATGATTACTGATTCCAGATTCAGATTCAGGATTCGCGAGTACGATTCCTGATTCCTGATTTCGCTCAAGCGTTGATTTCGATTCTTGATTCAGAATCATGATTCCTGATTCAGAATCATACTCAGCCATTGATTCTGATTGTGAACCAATGAGTCAGAGTATTTACTCAACCCAGTGAGTAAGAATGATGATTCTAGATTTTTTCAACGTGATTGTGATTCAAAACTCATACTCGTGAGTATTTTACTCAACTCGAGAACGCCAAAGATTCAGAATCAGATTTTTACTCAGCGTGTGATTCCGAATCATACTCACGCCGTGAGTATCTCCATTTTTTCACGTTATTTTGCCTTGATTCGTACCGGGGGTCCGGACCCCCGGTACCAAACCCTGATTCTGATTCTCGACCTTGATTCACGACTTCAGCGCGCGCCACGGTAAACCTCCTCTGCTGCTTGCGATGGCTTAGGTGCTTAGAGCCGGGGGATAGGACCTCGGCTTTGATCAAGTGAAAGTGTATCCTTGACCAGTTGAGCTGTGAGATTATACAATATAAGACAGTACAAGGAGGTATAGCTATACTATAGCGCACGTAGTGCATACAGGGTATCAGTATAACCCTGCCCGGGAATAGAACCCCTGTTTCGAGCACGTGGAAGCACACCCTTAACCAGTTCAGCTATGGGATCACACGATACATAACGGTGGATGGAGGTTTAGCGCACGTAGTACATGCAACCACACGGTGTGAATTACGCATTCCTTAATTCAATCAAGTATTCATAAAAACAATAAATGCCCTTCATCGATCCTCTTGAGGGATTGTCGGATTCCGAGTGAACATCTTGAAGTACGGATGTGTACACGTGCGACAAAAGATCTTCTTTCACTATTTAGTCATTGTTATAGCGGAACGGGAAATGTTCATGAATTTGGGGCGAATTTACCAGATTCTACCCTCTCAAAGTGACATTTTCCTCCTTTCTTGAAAATGTCACTTTTGGATGTGGGGCGTAGCGACTATATTCTTCGTCTTGTCAAAAATGTCTGATCCAATCTCTGATTCCCTGATTCTCGAAAATACTCAGATTTAATGGAATCACCCGAAAAATCAGCCTCATGAGCAAGGCATATTGAGTAAGAGTATTAATCAGCCAAAAAATCAACGTTAGATTCGCGAATCAGCTCGGAGATTCACATATCATCGCGATGATCCTGATTTCTCGCTCCAGAGTAGAAAATCAGCGAATCAGGGGTTAATACTCACCATCTGATTTTTTCATCTGAGTAAATACTCTGACTCACCTGTTGCATCAGGATCCGCATACGGCCCCTGTTAGAACCCAAAAATGTAGAATTGAAACTGAAAAAGTCTGATGTGAAACTTTCAACTCCAATCTGTTATGTCGACGATGTCTGCCATCTCGTTCCTGTGCTCTTTGCACCGTTTTTTCGCAATGGTCGTTGAGAAATTTTGTATTCTATTACCTCAACTTAGTTAAGGTTACATGTGCATCACTGTGCCGCACGGTTCGTGCGGACTGCTGAAATTCCAATGACTGATACAGTTGTCTGCATACGGCAATACGGTTCACAACTACATATCCAAGAGACATCTTTCCTCTATTGTATTATTGCATTATCTTGGTTGGTAGGTTTTGATGACCGTGGCTGCCTCGCAACATCGTAGTGACTCGCATCGCAACATACCTGGTATGTTACGATGGGAAGAATGTCGCTCACACTGCATGGTCCATGCAGTGTGAGCGGCAAAGTCTCGTGTCCTAGAAGTTTTTGCTTGGCGGTCAGATAGATCCATCGCAACTTATAACAGCCTGTTACTGACGAGGCACTAGCCGCTATAGAGGTGTTAATGGGTTGTCGTATCGAGTAAGATGATGGTATTACTCCTTATGTGATGGGCGTTGGAGTTTTCTCAGCAGCAGCAGCAGCAGCTTGTTGTTGTTGTTGATGACTGCAGGAACAGTTGATAGAAGAACTACGAGTAGTGATATACTACGACTAGGCCCCAAAGAGGTCCATAAAACAGCGTTGGACAAATTGGTGGAAAAGAACGATAATTTCTATAATCATGGCAGACGTCACTTAGGCCGGTCCGGAAGGTACTAGTGCGTACGATGCTGTTTTCTGATGCTTGTCGACAATATGGTTTAGCATGCGGATCATTTTGGACTCCTCCGTAAGCATGAGGTGGATGGTGATAGGTGAAGGTATCTCCTAGAGTTTATCGCTGCATGAAATCCCTCAGCATTGTATGTCCAAACTGTTTGCCCACGGCAAGGTTTATCGGTCTGAACATATGGTCGTGCAGAGGTTAATTTCGTGGCGCGTGACGTCTCTCCTATCCGAGGAGTCTAGCTAAAGTCGCGCGGCGGAGCAAAGCAAATTCATAAACTGTTACAGCAATGACTGGTGAAATGCGGTAGCACTTCGCATCGCCAACGGTGATGTGATGATGACGAACAATCTCGTTACTTTACTTTTGATATACCATAAACGATCTCACGAGCCATCAGTTCATTTCTCCGTTTTTTATTCGACCCATTCTGAATTCATGTGGCTGCTAAAGTCCATTATTGGTTGGCGTTGTGCTCCTCTCGTTTTATACAGAGATGTTACCAAGGGCACTCCGCGTTGTTGAGTTGATAAGTCCGCTGTTACATTGGCCCGGAGATGGATTACTCCCCGGTTCAGGGTTATATCGTTATGGGTTCAAGTTACTCAGGATCACGCCGAACTAGGAGCTCGAGTGGCAAGGAACATGAAGACCTCGCACGGTGGAGAAAGAACTCCCAGGAGGTCCATCGACGTGACAGTATTGAGGCAGCCAAAGTAAGTCTGTGCCGTCTGGACTCTTGAGAACCGTCATTGCTTCCAGACACCAGCGCTGTTCCGAGATATACGGAGTAGCAACGATCGAGTCGTCTTGTACACTACGGATGGTGTATCTCCCAATGGCTTTAGAGTTGACCTTACTCTTAGGGAGAAAAGCGTTATATTTAACAAAAAGATGGTAGAGCTCATGAGAGATAGTTCCTTAATGTGACGAGATTGTTCAGATTGATGAAACTAATGGTGAACATAGGACTCCCGAGTACACTACTATCAACCCACGGCAGAGAACTCCAACCCTTATTCACGATGATATAATCATCACGGAGAGCTGTGCGGCTATGCAGTACGTCGACGCGGTCTTCAACAGAGACGTAAGGTTACATCGACTACTAGGGGCGGTGTGAGAAAACGTGCACGTAGTCAACTTCATGTGTAGGTGACGTTTGTGGAAAATCTGAGGAAAATCGAGGAAATTGTCATTGGTTTCTGTATGCTTTTACCCGAATTTGTATGTAGACTTGTATAATTAGTGAGGAAACTCCTGAGGGAAGCGAACATATATTCTCCCAACACCGACTGGGGGCCTTCATGACAGGCTGTTGAGCAGATACGATTGCAACCAAAGGATCCTGTTCGACTGGCCAAGTGCTTGCAGTACATTCACGAGTTTGAATGCAATCTTGATCCTAAGAACGTCGCCCATAAGGTGCTCCAGCAGCGAATGGGCAGAGACCAACTTACAGAGGAAATAGAAGTAGGAATGTCCGGTTGTTGCGATCGACTATTAGCATTGACTTGGATGCAGGCTTTGGAAGCGGAGCTTGTTATATGGGACGGCTATTTGAAGGATAAGGAGTACCTTGTTGATGACTTCAGTCTCGCGGACATCGCGGTGTTCCCTTTGATCGCGCAGTGAGGAAGCGTCCTTTTGATAATCATGGTAGATATGTCTATGACTTTTAGGTTGACTGAATGCTTCGGCTTGGACCTCGCCGACTATCCTAATCTACGGCGATGGTGAGTGCGTTCTTTAACGGAAATCTGTGAGCATAGTACATAGTATGTTCTCGCGGTAGAGGGAGAGTTTCTTTTCGAATGGCGCATACAGGCACACGTCTTTCGATGATTCAGGTACTCTAATATGAGAGATCGGCCTTCACTCGAAGAGCATCCTTTCTTCGCAGCTTGTGCCAAGATTGACACACTTCATGGCATCACCTCTGCTCAACGCATGGTGCTCGCCAGACAATGATAATCTACGATTTTCTATGAGCTTTTATCATCGTGCCAACATTTCAGAAGAGGCGTATCGCACTTTAACCAGCGTGTCTGCGTTTCTACAGTGGGCTGGTGGGTCCACCGTCGAGATGACGTAATCTTAACTCGTCACACGAAGAACAATCAGCCAAGAAACTAAAGGACAGTTCCGACCCACAGTTTACTCGAGGAGCACATGTATTTGGAGGCATGGTTAAAGCCAGAGGCATTATCTCATATGATGTGATTGATGACAATACTGAATGCTCTCGCAAATTTATGGCGTATTTGATATGTATTGGCGATCTTGACGGTGCCTGCAGTCGCTCTGACATCACTACTGCAGCTAACTATACCTAGGCAACTCACCTACACTATATCTAACCACCTAAACTGAAGTTCACATTGATGCGCCTTTAGAGTAACTCAGCTAAGGACACCATGCCGAGCATGGGTTCATAACTGTCCTGAATTTCAAGACAAACAAATGGGAGCTCAGCTAGTGGGAACTTTAACTAGAATTGCGGCGAATCCCAGTAATGGCGAGTTTTATCGCTAACCAGTGCAAATGGGCCTTCGATTTAAGTGACTTTCGATCATGAGAATCTACCACAGAGCTTTGATCTTGTCCTTTTTGGGAGGTCCGGTGGCTCTGGAGGACAGTTCACTGTATTGGGACATGTGCATGCGTATACACAGTGAAAACCGGTGTCTGTAACAACCGAATGCCGTCGATCCTCTACAGTCCGGATTTGAATGTCATGAGTTGTATCGACCTTCGATTCCAGGTGCGCGATATACGCTCGGACCCATATTGCGCCTCCACACGGTGTGGTTGTCGTGCGCCTCTGTTCTCACTTGACAACTTGTCACGCTACCGTTCGTTGGCTCAGACGAAAGCGATAGCTTGCATGCCCCAGACGCATCCGCGTAACTTTGTTGAGTCAAATCCCGTCCTCTACCAGATTGTTGACCTGTCCACTTCTTTACTGTGCCACAATTGCTAATCCCACATACTGCATGTGATATGTGACATGCACGCAGGAATTTCCTGCCAGGAAATATATAGGAACTGGAGAATACCCGCGTATCTTCGGTTCTTCTTATCATCCTTTCATAGAATACCGTTCGGAACAATTGTCTTTTCTTGATGAGCCAACTCACATTGTTCACTTACTCTCCATCTAACAACTGCATGAGAGTCGAAATAGTCCTCAAGGAGAAAAAACTGCCGTATGAGAGGAAAGAAGTAGCTTGGCCAGAGAACGTCCGATGATGGTCATGCTCTCATCAGGTCGACATCTTCAAGGGGGAACAGAAAACTCCCCAGCTCTTGGCCATGAACCCACGAGGCACAGTACCTTGCTTAACGCATGGCTCTCTCGTGCTACGTGATAGCATGGCGGCTCTACAGTATCTGGACATGGCCTTTCCCGATCAAGTATGCGCCCCAGGCTTCAGCACTCGTCCTGGGTCTATCCGAGCTTAGGTTCCGTTGACGCCTCACTCACCAGCTGAGATGGCTGCGTGCATTCAATATATTCATGAGTTCGAGCAAAGTTTTAATCCCAAGAATGTCGCTTACCAAGTCTTCTTCCAAGGGCAGAAGAAAGAGCAACTTGGAGCCGAAATTGAGGTCGACACTCTTTGCTCGTACCTGCCGCACCTGTTAATGTTTGTCCCTCAGGCTCTTAGCAAGGAAGTTGCTATCTGGGACGGCTATCTCGAGGGGAAGGAATACCTTGTTGGTAACTTCACATTGGCTGACATCGCGGTCTTCCCTCTTGTTGCCCAGTGAGAAGCTTTCTAACTCAAACTAAACGACTCCTTTCCCTAGAGCCTGTTATTTAGCTGGAGCGCTCTCCGTTTACTTCAGGTTACATCTGTGGCTCGGGCTCAATTTGGATAAGTATCCCAACATGAAAAAATGGTGCGCCCGGGCACTCTCTTCGACTTGCATATTCGAGTTGAAACTATCCCTTCGTAGATTTATGTCAATTTGACATTGGCGAATGTTAAAACGTTACGCTGGAGTCTTAGAGTTGGATAGTCTGGCACTCTTTCATTTGAGTGAATGCAAACTGTATACCCACCATGGATAATGATGGGAGTTCATAGCGGCATATCTAGGTCGTTTGTAGTTGGTTCCAGGTACTTCAAAATGAAGGAGCGTCACTCCGTGAAAGATCACCCCTATTTCGAATGCGCCGAGAAGGTAGATCAGATCTTTGGAACCATAGCCAAGGACAGAGCAGTTCTTAAGGACTGATTTTTGGTTGACAATTCAGTTGCGGTGAAGTCTAGCTAATGATCACATATCTCTCGTGGTGCAACTCTGGATTTCAACAGAATTTTTTACTGGTAGCTAGTTGTTTTCGATCGGCTTCGCGCTGAACGATAGCCCTGTGTCGTGTTTGTCAAATATTCCTCTCTCGGCCACTAGCACATTGTTGTGTCTGAGAAGTGTACCGATCTCGCGAATATAACACTACTGTCTGCTTCTGTTCATATTCAGTGTCAATGTGTTGTATCATCCGGCATTGGTAGTATGATAAGTGATTGTAAGCCAAACTTCGATCGCTGATTACTACGAAATAAAGTGACTTACGAATAAAGGAAGCAAAAGTGGTACAACGACTCCTCCTCTCGACGAGATTCATATTTCCTCCGGTATGAATGAGCCCTTGAAAGAGTAGTTCATCAGCAGAATTCTTCATGGGTCCTTCAATTGGGCGATACACTCGAGTTCGACACCAGGTCGAGAGAACAGGTCCAGGGGAATGTTGAGGATGTACAGGCTGTCCCTATGCTGGAGACCGAGAAATCCCTCAGTACATCTAATTACATTGGGAGGGGCACCTATGCCACTACACCAAGATGTGCCTTAGTACGATCAACTGAATGGGAAGGGGCACCTATGCCACTACACCAAGATATGCCTTAGTACGATCAATTAAATGGGAAGGGGCACCTATGCCACTACACCAAGATTTGCCTTAGTACGATCAACTGAATGGGAAGGGGCACCTATGCCACTACACCAAGATATGCCCCAGTACGATCAATTAAATGGAAAGGGGTACCTATGCCACTACACCAAGATATGCCTTAGTACGATCAATTTCAAGACATGCCTTAGAGCCATCAACTACATTGAGAAGGGCACCTATGCCGCCGCCTGAAGATGTGCCTCAATACGATCGATTATATTGAGAGGGGCACCTATGCCGCCGCCTGAAGATATGCCTCAATACGATCGATTACATTGAGAGGGGCACCTATGCCGCCGCCTGAAGATATGCCTTAATACGATCGATTACGTTTAGAGGGGCACCTATGCCGCCGCCTGAACATATGCCTTAATACGATCGATTACGTTTAGAGGGGCACCTATGCCGCCTGAAGATATGCCTTAATACGATCGATTACGTTTAGAGGGGCACCTATGCCGCCGCCTGGAGATGTGCCTTAATACGATCGATTACATCGGGAAGGGTAGCTGGGATTGGAAATTGCGGGTATCAATTTCACTGTTCGTGGAGCCGGTTCCGCTGAAAGCAGATGGATTCGATGGTTCTGTTCATGAACAAGATGCTTGAAAAGTGCAGATGAAAAACACAACAGTTCGGGTCGGTAAAGCAAACGTGACAGCTGGCAGATCCCTCTAATTCATGGTTTCAATTGTCTGGTACTTTTTCCATAAAGCTGTTAAGACTCGTACACAGCTCAACCGCGCCTCGCCAGCCCATCCAGTTGAGAACAGATAACGGAACGTATCTTCACCAGCCCAGTATACTAAAATTATAATCAAGGTCAGAGTGAGGTAACTCACCCGCCCGGATCTACACACGAGACGACCTTCAATGATGTACCATCGGCTTCTCTGGCGAGAGGCTCTATGACCCATCCACCGAGATGTTGGTGGGCCCTAGTATGCCCTTCCTTGACGGATATGTTGAACCTAGACTCACTTGGTGCTCTGCTGACATTTAGACAGGGATAACTCGTCAGAATTCGTTGAATAAGTCCATCAAGGAATGAGTTCTCTCCCAGTTGATTAGGATTTTTTACGCTCAGCCTTGCACTGGAAAAGCCACGCCAAGTAACGAGATCACGAACTGGTGAATTCAATTGTTCGTCTATTTCACGCAGCTTACGCATCTGTTCCCTCGCTACTGAAGGCTATGATACTCCTGTCGTCCTGCTCGTGGCATGTCCGAAACTGCAGAACCTTTCAGCAGTGTTTGTGTTTCGTATTAATACGGAACTGTGACACCTCTCTTGCACTGACAGTGAACGGCACACCCGCATAGGTGCATCTGACCAGCTCCAAAGACCCCTGTTGAAGGAGGTCTCCTCGGACACTTATCACCTACATCTGCATGCATACCACTCAAGTAGCTAGGACAGGGAGCACCTCCGATCCCGTGCACTGGGAGTTCCACTCCTCTTCACTTCTCATGGACATGACTTCGCGGACCCTATTCCAGCGTTGACCACGGAAGTGCACCGTTATTCGCCACTGCGACAGGGCCTTCTCACCGGCCTTGGCGCTTCCCACCGTCAATGAGCGTTTCTCGACATAGACGTAATGCGGTTGGTTTTGGATATGTACAAATTCGAAGCCGTTAGGATTCGCCTCCGTACCCTCAGGTAGTGCGAGAACTTCCAAAACTCTCTCAACTAGTGCCGAGCCTTTTGGAGCGTCCAAGTGCTCGTTAACCCGTTCAATGAGAGGTGGAACGGTCTCCCGCTCATCCATGGGTTTTTCGATACGTTGATGGGTAGATGCGCGCATCCCCATTCGACGGAAGATAAGGATGAGTAAGGTTGATACAGTGCAGAAGAGTCCCAAGCGGAACAGAGGATAACCGCAAGCGAATATCCTTATCTCGACAAGTTGATCAACTATGGCCAGCATTTCGAGGACTTCCCACGAATAACGGGAGGCCAACATACCGGAAGCAACCGAGCTGACTGCCACCACAGTCAACGAGATACCAGCGGTTACGATCAAAGGACTGTACAGCGCTGCTGACTGATCGAGGGGTTTCGGAGAAGTCTCCTCGGCCACTGTTTCAACTGCTCTTCTAGTTCCTCTGGAGATGGAGGACGCGGCCTGATCGAATTCCAGTTGTTCGTCATTGACGAAGGTTTCTGCGCACCATCGGCCCAAGCCGATCAGCATAGACATTGGGTCTACAACTAAGGAACTGCTCCTCAAGGCGTACCTTAAAAATAGGAATCCCCAACGCTCCTCACTTGAGGAACGCGTCCTATAACATTACATTAATAAGAAACCTTAGGTAGTCCAACTTCACGCCTCACAACGTGGGGCGTGATGACCGCGATGTGTGCGTTGTGTTCCGTGGGCGCGCGCTACAATTTATGGCGCGTGACCCGTACGATGAGCGTCTTAATGATGGACAGTCGAGACTGGAGTGAGGGCTTCCTTAGTTTGGAGAGCCTCCAGCGAAGCATACCTCAATTGTATATGTGGCGGGAGGACCCCCGATGCCTCTAGGCTAGAGGACATGCAAGGACGGTTAGCAGAGATGCTTATTGATGGCTTGATGATTGCCGGATGTCTTGTCTGTGACAGGCTCGGAAATGATGCTGAGAGATACGGAGAGGGTCGGGTAGCCCCATGTCGTCATCACAAGTGCAACATTACTACGACCCTAACAATGTTAGGGTACTATTTCGTGCTCAAGGTATCTCGGCAAGGTCTCTTAGAGGTTGCTACTCTGGACAGAGAACTTCTCTCAGAAATCAGCTGATGTGCGCTATGTATTTATGCCACGGCCGCTCAACTGCTTACACGTCTGTCGAGTGGCTATCATCATCTCCATGACAGGCCACAAGTCCTTGGGCAGCTTTTCACTGATTCTTTCAAAACTTGGGAGCAGGGCTGTGACGTAATCAAGTTTATGGAAGACCTATGCATCAGGCACATCATGACTCGAATAGAGAGTGAAGTGCGCCCTATTAGATATTGTGATTCTATACCAGACGATCTGGAACTCAGGGTCGGCACTTGGTGGGAAACTGCAGAAATGTCGCACGGCGGCACCTTTTCAACTACCAACACGCGAGAACTGCTGCGCGCGGGCATGTGCAATAACGGCTTTCACAGCTTTACTGCATCGATTTTTGTAGTAAAAGGCGCCGAAAAGTTTTCATATTCTGAGCGTGTTGGGTTATTCACTTGGTTTAGGAGCAATCGCAGGAGCTCATTGGTCACCCCGATGGCTAATTTTTTTCTGCACGCTCTCATCCTCGGTCCTCTAGTGAGATATTTAACTTCACCAGCCAGGAATTGGTCCCAAAGGACAGGTAGAAAGGCAACGCGTCGACAGGTGTTGCCGACCTCACCCTGTTTGGTGTGATCAGGGATGGCGTTGGCAGTAGCGGTGCTAGCGTTGGTTGCAATGAATGAGATACAAAGGCCAGAGGAGAACTGCTACGAGCTGCTCGGTCTGGATCCGGCCGGAACAATCACTAGTAGTAGACTCGTGTGGTCGTCGGCACTTGAAGAGGCGTGTTGAGATACTCTGTTGGAGCTTTGCAATCGGATGATGATCATTCCAAATCGTTGCAACTATCGTCGAAGTTGAGGGTTATGTGATATAACTCGTACCACACCTCCGAATCCTCAGCGTGCACCATAGGGGTCATTTGTATGTGACGAGAGCCATCGTGTCGCGGTTTTTGGTCTCGTTATGGAAGAGTCTCTTCCTTTCAGAGGGGGACATGTCAAGAGCTTACCGGCAAGCATCGTTGCAATATCATCCGGACCGAAATCCGACCCCGGAGGGTGAGGTAAGCTCTCTCAATATGTAGCGGTGCCATCGTTGTTGTCGTCGTGGTGTCAGGCTATGTTTATGAAGATTGCACAGTGTCAGGAGCTGCTCTCGGACCCACAGAGAAGGAGGATATATGACAGATTTGGTGCTGTTTCTAACGAGCAAATGGCCGCGGTAGGACCCCCGTGTGGAATTCATCAGCACTAGCATAGTGTTGTCATTCAGATGGACGAAAGCCTTTACACGATGATGGCGTCGGTGTCGATGATCAAGTATTTTATTGAGTTCATATTGGGCCTTCTTTTCACCGCTACCTCTGATCTCAATGCAGCACGCTATTGGATAACACTGTATCTCCTTTTCACATTCACTTGTGAGATCCTGATGAAGTTCATAGGTGAGTCGTCGTTACGATTTGAGAAAGGAGTGGTATGAAACGCTTTGTAGGTTACGGTGGTATGTTCTCCTTTGTACCTGTGTTGGGAAGCTTTCGAACTTTTGAGAAGGTGGAGGCACTCAAGGACTTGTTTCCGGTAGTTCCCCACTTATTACCATTCTCTAATACCACACTCTGCGCACATCCTGGCATGGTAAACTCCAAGGTTTGATTCAGGCGATACTCTCTGGCAGCATATTGTTATCGAGAGCTCTCTATGTGGACAGGAAAAGAGGAATGCAATATGTCTTGGCTCATGTGGTGAAATCAAACAACGACATGGCTGTGTATGTGAAAGCACGAGGTTAGTCAATTGTGCTACCGCGGTGTCGTTGGACAAAGCATCGATCTTAGCTGACGACCCACTCAAGGGTGGGAAGAGCACAGTGCCTGATGCAGCTGCAAAGACTATGATGGGCGGTCACAATGTGGAGATCGCCAGTATGCTAGAACCAGCAGATGGCCATCAACCTAAGAGTAACATGGAGTTGACATAATCGTCTTTTAGGCGGTGGAATTGAATCATCATCTCGGCTTTTTGGATGCTTGTTAGTGTGTTGATTAAGGAATTAATTTCTCAGATACTCAACCGTTTATGGACCACACTGTCGTGTCTGGTAAGGAGACCCAACCCCATAGCGAGCAAGAGCAATCGTCTGAAGGACCGCAGATGGGGATCCGGCAGGCCCAACCACCGAGTACCTTTCAGAGGATACTCAACTTCATTTTCTGGCTTTATGTTGTTAATCAAGTCGTCATTCTTGTGAAGAGCCTATTCGGAACAGGGGCGCCTCCAGAAGGTCCCTAAATAGGTTTCGATCATACTACTGTTGGTTCTGTTGAGTTGGCATCAATCAACGTAATGATGATGAGGAGCCAACAAGAAAGTGCCAATGGTTCCTCACTGAGTGCAACTTATGACGGTCCTCTTGATCTACCGCCAAGTAGAGAGCTCGCTTGACTGTCAGCATGACTAACTTAAGTTGGAGGAAGAGATTTATTGCTAGTCATAGTCCGTCGTATAGACTATGTAATGTTCCGATTTCTATAGTGGTGTGTATTCAAACGGTGTGGCATTCCCCTGCTGAACACTGGTCTTCTCGCTATTATGACTTCTTGCGTTGGAACTCTTTGTCAATATCAGTTTCGAGGGTGACTACTACAAAAGCAATATTTTCCTATCGATCACTACATCGGAATCCAATCACGGTAGCACTACCAGCTCTGGTATGTGGTCAGTAATGTTGCTGAGGCGTTGCTTGTATTATCATCCCAGGAAAAACGCTCTATTGTTAGTGTGTACACTCACCATTCAGTTGACTATAATCAGCAAACACTGTGAAAGTATGGCAGAAACCCCGGCCCATACTCCTCCTCGTTGGGTGACTGAAATCATCAACGGACGACTTCACACTGAAGAAATGAAGATAACCCAACACGTGGTCAGAGAGTGTGTGCAGTGCCGATTTAGGGTAATTTAGACATCCCTACAAGGGCCTTGTATGAGGCATACATATTCAGCCGTGCAAGTATAGCAACTCCCTTGCTGCGGAAGGTGTAGACTCATTCGTGAGCTCCGTCGAGAGAGCCGTTCAACGATACGAGCCCTATCCCAACAGCATTAGTGAATGCTTGGTGAAAGAAGCGAAGCTGAGATCACGACGAGAATACAACTGGGCAAACTAGAGCATCTAGAGCCATTGGACTAGAGCCGCTGGATTCAGTTACTCCAACGTTTGTGTGTATGGGGATCAGAGGCCATACCTGAGGTAGATAGAAAGAAAATGAAGGTATGGTCAACCAGGCTCACCTTTTCATTGAAAGGCAGCAGCAATAAGCTTTCAGAGTGGTCCTTGAGCCAGGATCCTAATGCAGAACGACTTGAACTATCAGGCGTGGAGGCCTGAAGACGAACAAGACTGTTTTGAAATGGTACATTGTAGCCGAGCCTGGGGTGACGCAGAGCTTCTCTACATGGCCACTGGCATGCTGCTTCTGTTGTCGCTTCCTCCTCTGATAGTGCCCTTGTGTTCATAATGTAGTGCCTACCTGGAGTGAGAACGTTGATATGCCGTATAGAGCAGTGACCCTAGGGGAAGTACAAAAGGCTCAAGCAAAGCTACAGAAGGCACTTCTCTCTGCGGCCAAGGGTAGAAGACTCAGCAGAATGGTAACCAAGAAAGCTTAGCTAGCATTGTTACGGAAGGTGGCAGATGCAACCTGTACTAGAGAACAACGAAAATCTGGAAAGTTCCTTGGAAAAACAAGAGTCAGACATTCTGAAGGAAATCGAACGGGTGATGACAAATCTGCGGAATGAACAGACACGCTTGGGGGAGGAAAGGAAATCATTGAAAGAAGAGAGGAGGGCCACTGTTTTCGAGAGGAGGAGTGAGCGAATACCATCAGGCGATGAGAACGTGTTGGTCTCAGCCTTGCAAGCCTTTGCAGTGCAAGCGGAGGAGTTGAAGGGAAAACTTAGGGTGAGCTGCTGTAGCTCACTGCTTGTGGATGCCTCAATATGCATGGTCAGAGCACAGTGCGCACACTACAGCGAAATAACGACCAAGAGAGGCACACTTCAGAGCTTCGGCCGGGGATAGCTGGCTTGCAGGCTGCCATCCCTCCCTTGCCGAGTGCATCAGTACTCCATCCAGCAGATAGAGATCAAGCTGTGGAGATGCTGAGTAGAACAACTAAAGAGCTCGAGAAAGTGGGTCGTCCAGGAGAGCAATGCCTATGTCACTCGCTAGGTAACAGACGAGCGAGATCTGGCTCTATCAGAGGCTCGAATGTTGAAGGTGGAACTGGACAAGCGCGAACAGAAGGTGAGCTGGTGCATTATCATCATCATCGACCATGAGTACAGCGCCAGTAGCAGATACACTCTCTCACTGAACGATGCGGAGATCTTCAGCACGACGACGCTCAGGAAGAGGTATGGTCTCTCAACGCTATTGAATGGGATCGCTAACTCCAGCTGCGACGCTTGCGGGAGAAAGTAGCCCTCCTTGAGGAGTCTGCTACTCTGAAGGAAGACGTTGGTATGTTGCCGGCAACTACAGCTCCTCTAATCTCTGCAGAGTTTCCACCGGTAGTGTTTGTCGACCCAGTAAGGATTCCGTCAACTTGCAACCATTCGAGGCACTCATCCCTGCAGGTTTTACCCTCTCTATCAAGCTCGCTGACGACTACACCAAGGAGTGAGCAACTCTACGAAGACTCTATGAACAAGTGCTCCCTTCCTCAGACGGCGATAACGAAGAAGAGGATGATGACCGAGGGACACTCGAGAGGCTCATAGATGCACTTACTGGTCGAGGAGAGGACGAGACCGAGACAGAACGTAGAGGTTTCTCATCACCATTCACGGACTGAACGTGGCGGTCAGATGTGCTGCATTCTCTGGAGCATGTCGTTGAACGGCTGAGTCAAAGGTGCCGAGTACTCGAGGCTGCTGTAGTTGATGCCAAACAAGAGCTCAAGTGGTGGCGAACTGGTGGTGGTACCGCCACTTTCAATGAGTAAGATCCTCGTAACGTGTAGGGATGAGGGATGAATCATCGTGTCCATCAACCCTCTTCTCAGAGCCTATGCGAAGGTGATGGCTGAAAATGAGCGTCATCTGCGGCTCGAGGGACAGAGGCATTCGAAAGAGAAGTCCGACTTGCGGCACAGCCTCGCACAGAAAGAGAACAAGAGGGTAGGCTTTCGAACTGAAGTAGGTCCGGTATCAGTTCAGCAGTGTAGGCCCGCTACGAGGAGCTTTGGCGGAGGTCACTGAGGTTACTGCTAGACAATAAGAAGGACTATTTGCTCGGCCTCTACTTCCACGCTTGGAGTAAATATGCTTCATCACAAAACGGCGATAGGGAGATAGGAAGACTCAATGCCGTTGTGTTCAGTCAAAGTCGGAAAGGTGAGAGCTGGACTGTTGAGGATACTGCTCGCATTCACCGTGCTCCGTGACTGTAGATAAGCAAAGTTTCCAGACGCCAAAGATTCTCATTCAACAATGCCGATCCTTGCAAGACGAGAACGAATCGCTTCGACAGCGAGTGAATGAGGTGACGCTGTAGCTGCTCCCGCCTTCATCTCCAATTAGCAGCAATCTCTTTATCAGGTCGAGGAAGAGCTCTATCGGCACCGAACTGGATCCCTATAGTGGGAGACTTGTCTTGCACTACCATGTACACTTTCTCTGTACCGTAACTCCATTTCGGAGGTTTTTTGAGTTGAGTACTGGGAGAATTATTTTGCTAAGTTGTAGAGGCTTAGGTCAAGGGGAAAATGAGAATTGTTGACAACTGGAACGAAAAGAGAGCCTCATAGGAACGAAGGAGTTGTCGTAGTCTCCAATCTAACCTCAATACTCACGAGTATCAGCCTACACAGCATTCTGACGTGTTGGGCGCCTTGTAGGAGCACCAATGAGAAGTCTCGTCGGTCCTTCAAATCGAGCCGTTTAACTCGTTCGCACTCTTGAAGAAACTACCCAACTCATAATCAGGATGATGGAGACACAATACAAACGTGTTTAGCAAATCCAGTGAAGTACAACGTTACTGCAAACTTGTGTTTTGTCGTCATCGGGTATCATAGGGAGCATAGCTAGTTCACGGGTCTTTCGGTGGACATGAGTCGACCACAAATAGGAACATGCCAAACCCAGCGATCTTGCTCTTCCTTTTGTAGCAAGCATATAGCGGTCGTGTTCCACAACACAGCACTAGGTTTATGATACTCCTCGGTTCATTCATGTCTTGTTTTCAGCTCCATCTCTACCAAGTATTCACTACGATAGTATTATCTCTTTGGATAATCAGAATAGGTAGGTAGTATCTTCGGGAGATGATCTCCCCAGTACTGAGACCACGGTTCGAATATCGAAACGATTTATACTGGGGTACAGCATGGCCTGGTGGAACATCCGACTTTCAAGCCTCATGATACTTCAATGGTCCATTTTCTTACTGTGTATTGAAGCTTAGATTGATGAACGATATTGTGTATAGGGACGTCCTGTCCAATAGGGTCTCTTACCATACTTCTTAAGACCCTGATTGGATGAGATAAACGTTATTCTGGTACGACGGGCTATTACAGTGTCCCCCCCCAGGAGTGAACACTGGAATAGCCTCTTATCTTTATCTGACGATAAAAGGCGACACCCCTTATCACGTTGTACACCCTTCGTTTTGAATATGACAAACGTTGAAACGTGTGACATCGGCTGTGACTTGTATCGCCTCCCTAGTGTAACTCATAACGCAACCTTATATTGAATTACTCAATGGAGAGTTTATTATTAATCAACTTGCGAGTAGCAATGTGCTGTATCGTAATATACCCGATACTAAGTAGCTTCTTCCAACTCATAAATTGATACTCTAATAGTCCCCATTTCTACAACATCCAACGATCACCTTCGTAATGAAAGAAAATCGACGTTGTCTCTAGCGCTTCCACCGCCACATAGACGGTTGGAAAGGCAACAACTAGAAACGACTTCACCATATTCACCAAATGATAGTCACTATACTTATAGTAATTTCAACAGAGATCGGTTGAGATGGTGATGGCGAAGTACGCAACTCGACTTAGTCATCACGGTCATCAGCAGCAACAACCTGCGGCGCCTTTTGAGCGACATTGGCATCAGCTGGATGGTCTTCTTTCTGACTACTCGACCTGCGGCTTCTAGTATAGGTTCCGTCCTCCTTCAAGAATTGGTCCTCACGAACGAACAATTTACGTCCTTGGAGCTCGTAACCGTTATACTTTTCTAAAAGGAATTGCCTAACAGTTGAGAGCTACTCTAGCAGGTCTCACCAATAGCCTTCTGAGCTCCTTCAGGATCTTGGAAGAGGATGGTGGCAAAGCCCTTCGACCTTCCATCCCAACCCTCAGCCATGTCGACACGGATCACGTCTCCACATTCGCGGAATAGATCCTTAAGATCTTGCCAGGCAGTCCTCCAAGGCAACTATTAGAGAAAGCATTAAAACAGGAGGGCACGGTCGAGGACAGTAGCTCACATTGCCAACATAGATCAGCCTGTGGACGTCCTTCTCGCCAACCTTCAATGGGCGAATTCTATCTCGGCCCTTGAAGCCCTTCCCCTTTCCTTTACCTAAGGAGCAACATACCAGGGGCGATGAGACAGACGATGACTGACCCTTGCCTTTGCCGCCCTTGCCCTTCCCCTGACGGGTAGTGGCAGCATCTTGATCCATCTCCTCGATGGGCCCGCGGTCCTCTCTGACGAATATCTTGCGTTTGCCGACCTCGGTATCATTGAGGGTGTCGATAGCCTTCTCGGCAGCCTCCTCAGTCTTGTATTCGACAAGACTGAGCGAACAGAAGTCGATGCCCGTAGTCTGGATGGTGATGATGATGACTTACGCGCAACCCTTGGACTTGCCATCTCTACGAACCAGAATATCGACCGATTCCACATCACCAGCTGACTTCATATGATCACCTAGCTGACTCTCGGTAACCTGACAGGAAAATAGGGTACTAGCGAAGGGACTCGAGTTGGTCCTTTCGGGAAAGGAGACTGAGATATGCCAAGGCGAATGTTCAGGACACTATGCAGGGCCATATAGGAGACCAAGGGGCGTGACAGAGCGAAAGGGGATGCTTATATAGGGCAGTAGGATCGCTGTAGCTTTTCGGGGAATATCGAAAAACTCTGTGGGCGACTCAAAGGAGCGCCTCAGGTTAATCCCAGTAGACTCACCTCGAAATCCAGACTGCCAACGTACACACAACAAGCTTGGTTGACCATTATACGGGATTAGCTTCGCAATGAACCTCCTCAGTTCTTCAAATGCTTCTGTAGCAGCACGACGACGACCAAAGCCGTGCAAGATACCATCTTGCAATCTTGCATTTTCTCAGCTCTCCAGCGCAATCTATTATAGTCGTCTTAACGATTTCTCCATTCAATTATAACAACGTTAGGTCCTCTCTCGGGGTAAGGTTATCACCCAAGATGATAGGCTTGTATAGGCCAGTAATGGTAGTACTACTAAGGTTTGCATCAGGTCCAGTGCTGCATCTGTAGTGGGAAGTGTGACTGACATGCTCAAGGACTGCATGCTCGGTACTGCTTCTTGCGGAGTCGCAGCTGCAGGCGGTGATCTCCTTCTGGGGGGTCGGTCGTGGCCGAGTCAGTCTTCTTGGGGTTCATAAAGCAGTAGTTGGGATGGTTTTTGGAAGTTGAAGTTATGGTTTATCGTATTAGGGCGTAGCAGAGCGCTCAAGAGAGGATCTTACCGAAGGGGCGCTCGCTAGGCAATTTTAATACAAAGAAGACGAAAGTGTTCATAGTAGAGGCTAGTACATGCCAGTATGCTTCATCAGACTATCTCAAGCTGTATTAGCTAGGGAGTCACCTTCCACTGGCGATTCGATGTGTGATTCATAGTATATCGTATATGGTAGGCTTACATGTGGTGTTCCTCATGATAACTCCATGCTATTTGCAGCGAAGTGAACGGATGGAAATCGCGTCTTAGAATATAACATCTGTGCGAATCGAACCTTGGCCGCCTGCTTCCCAGCAGTGACTCCCTCGAGTTAGACTACCAGACTTCCATAAAACCGATGGCTATGTCCCATTCGTCTTCAGGGACTGAACTATCAACAAAGTTGTCGACTTCGGACAGTTAAATTCTCGTTTAGGACAAGTTTAGACAGCACACAACACTATGGCGCGCGCAATCGATTTAGACTACGATAACGCTAGAGGGAATGCTTGATTTATGCTAGTCAACTTCATGTGAATGAGCAACATCAACAAGTATGGGACTACAAACTTCATTTCAAAGTCACTTGAATTCCACCATCGCTGTGAGATTGTGCTGAGGACTGCCTCCTGATGCGGCTATACGTGCAAAATTGGAGTATACGAAATAGACAAGGTTGGTTGTCAGCCGGTCGCACTCCAATTTGCTGTCAAATTGGCGGCAACAATCAAATACGACAACTTGCTGTTGAAAGTATGCAGAAGGTGTCGAGAAAGACAATTGCTGTCACTTTCGACAATCAAAGTGCTGTCGAAAATAATTTATACCGTAATTTTGAAGTATACCACTAGCGGCGGCGCTGATTCAGGCTCGGTCGTCTAGCGTGTTATTATCGCGATGGAATTTATCGTGGATTTTAGTAAGACTTTCTCTTTGGCAGTATAAGGCAACGCGATACCACACTGGTTCACGAGATGGTAGTTGATTACAGCTGGCAACGAGTCTATTGAAGCCAGCCAGGAGAGCAAATCAAAAAGGATCCAAATATCGCAACAAGAAGGGCTTGAGTCATTAAGTCTGACGACTTCGATCTTACGACTTAATGAAAGACTTCTGGATCACTTGTGTAGTTGTCACCACCACCAATCACACGACTAACTTATTCATCCGTTCGCGTGATGACAGCTCGCGCTGTGCTCACACTCGTTATAATTGATATCTTCAGTAGCGTACGCAAAGCATGAAACGGTTTCACTACCGAGTACAAAAATAGGATGATAAATACTCCTTTGATCCAACTGCAACAGCACTGTGTTACGTCCTGCAACGACCAGGATAGCGCGGCAATAATCAATGTTCTCCTCCGTGTCTCGATATGACACAGTATGCATTAGTCTTGAATACGATGTACACTCGAATACAATTCAGCATGACAGAGAAAACTGCAAACTACGAATGTGTTCATGAATACGTTGCTTTCTAACAACAGTCTTATGACACGACGACGAGATCGGCCACGACGGTGTCTTCCATCGGCTTGAATGCGCTTGGGAACATGCGCATCCAATCAGGCGGGCCGTAGTCGGCGACACGAGGTTCGGGGTCGACCACTGCCCAAGCACAGTTCTCTTCAATTCCCATTGAGTTGATGCCGGACTGGACAAGAAAGTAACCTTGGTCACCCCAGAAGGTCCCCCATGAGTTCTTCACGATATAATATTCTTTACCGTCTTCATCTTGACCCCAACCAATGATGACTATGTCATGATCCAAACTCCAATTCCCAGGAGTAGTCGCGCGCACTATGTCGCCAGGATGGTATTTGCCGTTTTCGACCACGCTGGAGTCAACAGCGCAACTGATAGGGCCACGACGATAGATCTCGGCCTTGATCATGTGAGGAGTGGGGTTGGACATTTTGCCAAACTCAGTGACGAAATAGCGACCATAACGTTGAACAGGATAGCAAGGCCCGGTACCGGCCGGAGGGTCGCAGTTGATGCAGTTGTCGATCGGGGAGCACTGACCGTCCTCGCCCCGGTAAAATTGGCATTGGTCGTCCGGAAGACCCTCGAGATGGGCAAACTTGTAAACACCAAAGTCTTCGCCACCATGACAGGAGCCAGCTATGTCTCGTCCGCAGTTGAGGACGACTTGACGAGCTACGTTGACCTCGGGGAACTGAGCCTTGTTGGCCACTTTGAGCCTGTCGTTGATGACACCAACACCAGCATGGAGCCAGCAGGAGCCACAGTACTTCGGAGCATGCTGATTGAGAACCTTGGTGATGTAATTGACACCATTGTGATGACGCCAGTCGAAGGTAGCAGGCAACTGATGCTCTTCAGTGTAGGTATGAGGCAACGGTGAGATGACGACCTCGTGATTGGCATGGTCACTGAACATAGCCTTACGGCAGCCGGCAGCCGCAACGTAGCCGAGAAGACCAGCGTGGAAGGCTAAGACCAGCATTCGAGAAAAAATCCTGCGGAGGACTATTTAAGACGGTAAGGGCTCCTGCCTACGTGTATAATGGAGACCTTACGAACGGCTGGCAAGAGCGGTAAGAGCTTTCTACGCAAACTAAACTCAAGCTTAACTATGGCCTCTATCTCAGGACTTGAGCATTAAACAATTGTCGTGAGGCAACGACCTTGACGAAATATGCTCTTCTGAGGCGGAGCGATGTGCGGAGCACCAGGTTTCGCCAACTCGCCAAACTTGGCGAAACCTGTAACCGAATGGTCAAATGACTAGTCGGCAAAATCCTTTATAACCCCCTCGCAGACGGAATTACAGCGCATTGGTATCTGTAGCGAACAGGTTTCGACGAAATTTTTGGTATGACCGTTCACCAAACTTTCGAATTCGCTCGCCCGTACGCGCAAACCACCTTCATAGCATGTAATTTGCCTACAAGGGGTGGTCCAAATCCGTTTCTGTGCAGGATAGGACCATAATTTTCGCTCTGTTAGGCGAATACTTTCAACGCAGCCAAACTAAACCAGGAATCAGCGAATTTATCGTAGAAAATGGGGTCATTCAGAATTTGCCAACAAATTAATTCAATAGGTGAAAGCTCTTGTACACGCATGATTTGCCTAAAACTTGTGCGTATTCAGCTTATAACCAGTATTCGCCGTAAATTGTCGCCGAAACATGTTTGCTGATTTTCATGGCATGACAGAATTCCGCGGATGACGGTTGCGTCAACTTGGCAGTTTTTGGTTAGAGTCTCGATTCGAGACTTTTGAAGGTGATATTCAAGTTCATGATGAGTTGTTCATCATATCAGATCATTTCCGACAGATGACCATGGGACTTTCGTTGACTTTCGACTTACATGAAACATCGTGACATAATACTATGACTATAATATGGATGCGAATACTCTTCACTCGTTTCAGACTGAGCTTTGGGAACAGCTCCTTGAGCCAGGCGTCTTGACGTGTAACCCGACACACATCACGTGTCGGCCGAGGTGATTGTTACGTCTTAGATCCTACGAGAGTTGTAATGACATCAGATCGTAGAGATCTTATCTCGCTTGCGTGTAGAATGCCAAGTTCTTGCCTTGTTGGTTCGTGACTCGCTGTTAGGAAGGTATGCACTAATTTTGTGGTTGAGTATCTTTCATTTGTGTGTAAATATTTGATAATTCGGTGAGTGGGCTTTTCCGCCGTGTTAGAGTGTCTTTTATCTTTCCCGGAACTTCAAACGCAAAACAATAACAATACGCAGAATAAACTCAATCAATTGAAATCAGATATGGCTATTGTCAGCACTTCTACTTTCTAGTATTTCATACACCACTTACCAATAACTTGTTTACACTGAAATTTCAGTAAGATTCCACAAGTTGTGGACCACAACGGAATCAAGAATATCAATACAAGACTGAGACGGAACCATCAGTGTTGCACTGCAAGTACAGAGACATAAGCGCAATAACGACCATATACCCTACATGGCACACGGGTTTCATGACGAAACCACCAGTGTTGCACTGTAAGTACCGAGACATGAGACCTACATGGACCGTGGTAACTCATTCATAATGTATTAAGATTCTTGACAAATGGGAAACGTGACGTACGGGACTCATAAGAGAGCGTGTCACGTCACGAATGAGGGACGAAAATGAGAGAGGATGGAATAAGGACATGTATATGCGTAAGCTGGACACAAGATGAGGCTGTGGTGAGACAGACGAACTATCGTAGTTCGGCACAGAACTAACCTCACCATATTTGTTATCCACCAACTCCATAAACTCAAGACTGTTAGATACTAAATCGGACTCAGTAACGTTACACGACCCATTAAGGATGAATGAAAACAGTGAAACATGGGATGGAAACAGAGTGATGACATGTTTATATTATAAACTTCACAAGACTAACAATTGGTCCATAAATTGTTTATAACAATTTATTTACACTTCGCTCCGCTGGTTGCACAATTTCTTGAATGTTGGTATAATCTGTGTCTTCCGACGACTAGGCAAAACCCGTATACTCATGAATCATGCCAAGTCGCGGAAATCAGTATTCAGCAAGAGTTGCTGAATTCCTTCCTACGTAGGTGTTATACCAACCATTTCTCCGCCTCCAACCAAATCGTTCTTTCACCAAGAACTCCGCCGTTTTCTAGTCCAGTATCGGAAACGCCGACCCGGTGTTATCAGCGTAATATACCGTATTTGACCGCTTGTCTTGGTGTTTGGCAAATGAAATCTGTGCGGTGGTTACTTGGCGAAATCCGAGTTGGCGAAACCTGTTACGCCCGCGATGTGCGCATCTTCCACCTCGCTCGCCGAATATGCATTTGAGCCAAAAACGGATGACCGCTTTCAACCACTCCCAAGCAGACTACGACGGGAAGGACGACACATTCAATCTTTCCCTAGTAATTTCAGCGCTGTTGAAGATGATCTATGATGAGATCGACCAGAACTTCCGTGACAGACCGTAGGATGGTCCGAAAGTCACCAACGTTTTTCTTTGTTAGCTGCATAGAATATGTCCAAGGCATCCAGGATAGAGATCGCCCGTTCAAAGATGAAGAATACCATAGGCCATATCTCCCGTGATAGAAGAACGTCATAGCGTTAAAATGGCATGCCACAGACGGCTTATACCCCATTAGAACTCAGCTGAGGCAAATGGTATCTTATATACTCGCAATGCATTGCGAGGCTTCCCATGACTGTAAATTCTGCACAAATGGCAAGTCTCATACACAGACGTGGAGCGATCAGATGGGCTAGTTGGCTACGAAGCCAGTGAATCGGTCAAGTACATGGTTTGTTGAGCTTCACTTCAGCCGTGCTCCTGTCGAACGGTGTTATGTTGGGTAAGGATTGCATGTTAGCATAGGAGAGCGAGAGTTCTACCTCACATGCTATGACCTCTAGTTGGTGGGAATACCACAACGACAGGAACTGAATCAATTTAACTGATCGACGAAGTCCGCAAACTCAAAATTAGAAAATTGTAAGCTTCCTCTCCAACACGATCGTGTATCTGCACCAACACATTGATTGCTCATGATTATGCAGGCACCCACTTATGACAGCCGACAGGGTCTCGCGTCTCCTTATCGGCCATACGTTGCGCGGCCACGATATCCGCTGTCCGTTTCCGAGCTTCATGCATTCATCATTGCTGTTTGTCAACATTGCCGATTTATACTAGTGTTCGAAGGTTGTCTCAATTTGAACGACTCCGACACCTCCAACAATGACGATGATAACGAGCCCAGGTCGAACAATGACAGGGCTGGAGCATCGAACGAGATTACAGTGGCTGGTCTGTGAGAAGAGAGTGAAATCCTTCTCGTTGGTCGTAGCGTTGACAAGATCAAATTCGTTGTCTCAATGGATCCCGAGTCGTCACCTCCTAATATTCCAGAGTATACTGGCAACCACACTAAACACAAATCCTTCCTGGTCAAGAAAAGAAGTCCTGAAGGGGAAGGTGAGGTTGAGAATCAGAGTGATCCTTCCGACCTCGCAAATACAACTGAAAACGTGTATAAGAAAGAAGTGATCGACGATGATTTGCCTGTTGTCGCTAGAACGAGTTCGAACGGAGATGTCCACGAGGAATACAAAGCGACCGATGGAGAAGCATGGCCGATACAGGAGACTACCATCGTAGTTTCTGCCATGGAGACTTCGAGTATATCGAATACCAGTCACCCTATCGCAACTGAGGACGACCCTCAAGCTCATGAGGCCGTAATGCTCCTTACAAGCTCAAGCAATCTCGTGGAGCAATCAGACGTTACTACCGACAGTACTGGTTCGGAAAATGCGAGCCACCCTAGTCTAGATGAAAATAAATGGAGTGATGCTGAAATGACTGGTAACACTCGAACTGAGGAGGTAGCTGCCTCTGTGGAAAGCAGTCCGGACGCTAAGGACATCGGCATGGAGGGTGTGACTGCACAGCCTGGCAAGGTATCCGGTGATGAATTCGCGGCCGAGATTGCGGGGACCGAAGAGACGAGTAGCGAGACTGCAATTGTGCATGGTGACAGTTCTCAACAAGAGGCGACCGCGACCTTGGGAGTCCGCGTCTTGGTGACGAGCCCAGCCCCAGTCATCGATAGCCATGTTGCTATCAACGCTGAAACTTCTGATGCAATTCTACCTAGTGAGCAGGTAAACAGTGTGTGTCTATGATGACACCCTATTGGTGCTCGCGTTTGATTCCAGGTCTCCTGGAATGGACGTTTTCCCGTACAAAACAGCTGCATGCACGATGTCAACTTGAATGCGAATCAAGATGGCTTTGATCTATACGTTGACCCGAGAGATCACTTCTGCCTTTCTGAGACGAGGTGGTGCTCTCCTGGGTGCTCCCCTATAAGTGAGTACCTGTCACGAATCACGTGGGTACTGACCATCCGTTCAGGCCTGCATACCGACTCATCAGTGGGCGGCGCAAGGCCTGAACGCTCTAGAGTCCATTTCTCGCCTCCCGTGGGGATCAGCAACGAGTGGGCTTGAATTTACGAAGTGTCAACGTTGATATCTTCCCTCAGGTATTTCCTCTGCGCTGTCCACAATCATGGTAAAGCATGTGTAGCAGCTATCTCTGTCGGGGGACGATATCATGATGAACGCCCCGTCATTGCCATCGGGTGATACTGACCGGCCCAGTCTGAATATAGCCATAGCATGAGGGCTGTTCCAGGAAGCATCTTGAACGACTGTTTTTGCCATCGGGCTTCCCCCTAGGGAATTCCTCTATGCATGTGTTGGCAGTTATCGCGATCAGGTCACTCACGGATTCAGTTTCTACCCAATCAGTTGCCCTTGCCGTCCTTGCCATTGGATCAGTAGCTGGAATGCTCATTTGTGGATACAGGTCAGCTCCTTGTCGCTGAGCTCATTCGAGTGTACTGTACTTCCCAGACGCTTCTCACGTTGGAGAGCACGCCGGCATCATCAGGCCCCCGATGAGTTTGGTCTAGATATGACAATAGACGACTACAAGGATTCACGCGAGCCTTTCCATGGTGAAGTAGGTTCCAGGTGCCGTATTGGTTCCGATTCATCACTACCTTATTGAAGTTTCAACCAGAAATATCACTCAGTTGATGCAGATTATTGGAATTTGCACGTGGAAAAATACGTCCTTTTTCATGTGTGTGTGAATTCAAAGTCCAACGCCGACAACACGTTTCAGTTGGACTACCATCGATGCTTCACTAGTAAACAGTGCTTTAAGCCTCTTGCATTAGCCGCTTTCTCTTCGTTAGCGCCTCTGAAGTTTTTTCCTCTCAGACTGCCGCGCGCCACCGAGGTCCACATGAGGACCTGATAAGCTTTTGAACATGCTACTGGTCGCATCGTGGATCATGCTTTAGTCGAGGTTTCGTCAAACACTCAATTGTTGAGTGCTTTCTGAGCAGTACGGGCTTGTATGCTCTTTCATAGGGGAGTAGTTTTGAAGGGCGACTCGTTAGGAATCACTCGATTACACATAAAGAATGTGTGTTATGTCCTCAACACCTTAAGTGTGCAATGTTAGACCCAACTTTATCAACCAGCAACTGTATCTCTCAATTGAGTGAAGCGAATACTCCGAATATGGTGGTTCAAGGTTGGCCTCCCATGGGAACACATGTGGTGACACCAGTCGAAGTAACTTGATGAACTCAACAACACCTATTCTCCTCACGCGAAACCATACAAATAGTACAAATAGCTAACATTGTATGACACATTACAAGAAAAGGCAAATCATTAGGAACAGTAAAGCCAGAGCAGATCAGTCAACCATCATCACTATCGTCACAAAGATCGACAACTTCCTCATAATTCTCTTCGTGACCCCTACAGGAGCGCTTCCATCTTCACCAAATAGAAGCTTGTCTTACCCGTCCACCGTGTCCCTCCCGCCCAAGTACTCCTTGTCAAGCCTAGCTCGTTTGAGAGGTACATCAGTATCACAACTCTACAATGATGAAGCAGGTACGGTATATGAGAATGTCTAGTGCTCACTTTGTCATAATGACCATCTACAGCAGAGGACCTCGTCGAGGCTGTCGAATATGAACAACATCCATCAGGATCACGACCGTCCTGAGACATCCAGCAATAAGGTCGATTTCAGAATGCCCGGCTTACCGTGGTGCCGTCGTGATTGGGTGGGTAAAGACTCCATTCTGCCGTTGACTTGGTGACGAAGACCTACTGTCCTCATACTCTCCCACAGTGTATTAGTAGTGTCCTCACCTCCTCAGCTTGGGTCCCTTTCGTTGCACGCAGTATTGCCAGGATGAAACCATCGATAAGGATCTTATCAGGTCGTAGTACTGCATCACACACTGCACATTTCCAACGATTGTTGAAGGCAGCCATCATCTTCTGGGCTCGAATGAACCACTCCAGATCAAAACACTGATACACACCTCTGTTGTCACAGCATCCCGAATCGCGTTACTCACTTGTATGTGAGTACAGTCTCGGCCTCTGGCCGGGTACTCCATCCTGGCGTACGACAAGGGACACGTCAAACGGAGAGCCCTGAACAGACTCCAATAAAAGCAGTTCTCGAGAGGCAGACTACTACCGCGTTTCTCCATCAACTTCATCAGAGCTACCACTGATTTGGAGTTCATCCTCCTCGTACTCCTTCCTCGACAATATACTCCTTATTCGAGATGAAGACACTCCTACGTCCTCTATGGGGACCTACCAAACGAACCCTTCCACAGTGTATCGGTGGCTATAGCTACCCCGTTGAGAATAGCAGAAGGCTCCTGGGGCATGCACTTCACGATGGCCAGTACGTAATGCAACTCAGCAGCTGAGGGTAGTTTCGGGTCAAACTGGATCGTTACCTGTGATAGAGTTCAGCGGCTTTGATCATCCACCACTGAGGGCCTCACCTTGAAGGGAACTGCCGTCTGATGCGGTGGTATGCAATCTGTAATGTCTAGGGGGCAATCTCGGCGTTTGCGGAGGTGCTCGGGAGGAAGGACCTACACGGAAGGTCAACTACATGTGTTGGTGACAATACTAAAATTCCTAGAAAATTTCTCCCTTGTTTTTGTATACTACTACTATCCGAATTTTCGAGGAAACTTCGCTTAGGGAAGCGAACATATACTCCTCCACCATCGTTCCTGCGCGCTCCAGTGACCTCAGTGCTAGCCATAGACTACCTTTATTCCGGCACCGTCAGCGAACTCGAGTAAGAAACTATGCGGCCACACGTGCTGGAGGGACACTTTGGTGTGGATGAAGCTGACCAAAAACTATGCTGGTCGTTTGCCAGGCCTCCTTACGTATTAGCATCAGAAGGCGTGAGCATTCGAGGGGGGATAGCCATCATTCTGGCCCATATGCGAGCACCAGGAGCCGAACACAGGCTACTATCGGGCATAGACAAGTACGTTTCGTAGCTCCCCTGGTCGGCTATACGCCAGAGCCCAACAATACCATCATTGGGAGGAACCTGAGATGAAGGCTGCTGCTGCTGAGGGGTACGGAGGGTCGTACTACATTATCAACAACGAGGGGCCAGAAGGGATCCATTCGGGCGAAGGCAGCTTCTACGACAGAGTCCCGGAAAGCGGTCATTCCCGAGGGCATCTCGGCATTAGGACGGGGACTCTCTGATGAAGTGTAGGAGAATATGCATATAGTCAACTAGAAGTGTTGGTGATGAAATGGAAAATGAGGAAATTTTGGGAAATTTTAGAAATTGCTTTCTGTACATTTCTATCCAAATTCGTATGTAAACTTGTATAACTAGTGAGGAAACTCCTGAGCTCAGCAGCTGAGGAAAGCGATATCATATATATTCATCCAACACTGCTCTGACCGGATGGAAACAAGTCCCCTCACCGAGGCCAGCATCGTCTCCTCCTCCTACCTCTCTTCTTTGGATGCCCGTTGCCGCCTGATGTCCCTTGAGGAGGAATTTTCTTACCAGTGGGAAGGACGAGCGGTGGCCAGACTAGAGCCGCTGATAGCAACACATTTAGGAGCATTCGTGAAGTGTCGATTTTACCTGTGAGTAGATCGGGATTCTCCTCAACGGCTTCACGAATCCGCTCGATCAGTTCAGCTTTCCGACCTGATACTTTCAAATTCATGTGTCTGACAACGTTAACCTCAACAACGGAATAGTAACTCCCTCGCGGGAAGTACACCACCTGCAGTAGTCTTTCAATACATTAACGGTAAATGAAGGAAGAGCTTGTAGCGTTGTGGCAATCTCCCCAACGGAGGCAGGCCCCATTGATAGGGGTCTTCAGAGGCAATATAAAAGCAATCAATTCTAAAGAGACTAATCGTGCAGATGACGTTCCCCGTCCGTTTCACCAATGCAGCTGATACTGATCCGAGGTATGAAGTTCGATTCTCATGGGGTCACTGGAAGCACTAGAGCATGGGGATGAACAATACTACTGAAATTTAGTGCATGCCTTGATAACTAATATCCATATTATTATAAGCTTCTTTGCTTGGTGGTTGCGGAGGAGGAATGTGTGGTGAACCCACGAAGTCTTGAAAGCAATCGTAACGAGAACTCAAATCGTTCGATATATTCATGACGATATGTTGTTGGAGAGTCAAATGATTCGGCCTCATTCCCCACTGGGGAAGGTTCCTCAGTGTTCTCTCATTAAGTGCCCCAGAAACTCGAGCCCAGCATACAGTAGAGTGCCGCTGCTCATGAATATGCCCCTATCGGATGATGCCAGAATCATCCCCCCGGCAATATCCGATTATGTGGGCTTACTATAGGAAAACAAGGTTGAATACGAACTGCCTCGCAAAATGCAGTTTTCCATCTCTTTAATAGCAACAACTACATATACGCCAACCAAGATTCGAACCTGGATTGTCATATGAACATCCGTACATACTAACCATTACACTATATACCACATCAAGACACTTGCGTTCGTCGAAGACTCGCCCGCCTAAAAATCCGTTTCGCGGTGCAAATTGGGACATTCGGGTTTCTAAGCTGATGCAGTTGCTGTATGTGGGCTGACTGGACATCTTGACATGGACGGCAGTGCGAATGAGGTGAATGCTGAGGGCCAAGCAGCTGTTGCTGCCTTGGCAGCCGCCGCGGCCATGGAAAGCTATTCGCTATTAGGCAGAGACGCTTTACGGAGTCATCAAGCTGTTGCTGCTCTCTGTAGTGTCGATCCTGGAGGAACCGACTAAAGCTTACACACCCTCCAGTCGCACAACTTTTGCCCGAGGGTGTTATGCTTATTTGTATAGAGTCTATACTAGTATATAATATAGTAATATAGCTTATAGTATATAATAGTATATACCGCCACGAAGGCATACCAAAGAGCTGGTGATCGATAAATACACATGCTCGGCCCCCCAAGGCGGACCATCGTTGCAGCGGGTGGTGACTATCAGCGATGGGGTTGACGAGCCCTCCTGCTGATCGAGGCAATCGCCCGGTCAATGAAAGCATTCTCATCCGCTCTGGCATGGGGCGCATAGTTAGCCTTATAGCAGGTGATGAGCTCATGAGTGCATACGTTGGTGTTATCATAATCAGTGGTGAATCCTGCCACCCAGTAGGTCCTATTAGCGAGACCACTACAGAAGCTAAGGATGACTTGGCTCATGTTAGTGGAGGCATCTTGGCCGCTTCAAGTGGTGCCATACCGCACCTTACTTGTAGCATGTTAGATTTCGGTGGAGCCCAAGTGGTGGATATCGTCGTGCCTTCAACAGGAAAGGAGCATCAAGATGGCCACCGTGGTAAGGGGTTAGATGCCGCGGTCCCTTCTGGTCTCGATTCGAAATGGGGTTATAGTTCATAAGGAGACGTGCTACCGTCATCGTATCGTTATAAAAGTTATAGAATCTGCTAGAGTTGTGTTGGAGTCTGAGGAGTGGCGATGGAGTGGTATGCGGCAGTTGACTCGCATTTAAGCATGGCTTCTTCCTCACTTCCTGGTAACTTCATCGTCTCTAAAGGAAAGGGAGGTGATGATGATGATAGTGTACAGGGTAGCCATCCATCATTCCCTCTCAGATCTCCCCATGGTCACCCTCCGTCACCCCAAGTACTCCAAGGCATCATGTGACGTCTACGTATACGGTGCTCACGTGGCTAGATGGACCGACCGAGAAGGTGATGAGATCAGTAGCTGCTGTTCTATCACTCAGGAGTAGTACTTCAGGCAACTCCAACCTGTATATGTCCCCTATCGCTGACTATGGTAACGGTAAGGCTATGAGAGGCGGAGTCCCTGTAAGTAGTGGTATTGGGCCGATGTGTGTTGGTTATTACGGATTTGCAAGATTTTGGACAATTTAGCAGAAAAGTTGGTAAAAAAATCGGAATTTTCCCGATAAAACTCGGCCAAATTCGATTACGCTCTAGTGGAGGTAGTAATACTCAGCGTTACCGCAATTTTCCACAGGTCTGTTGGCCGCAATTCGCTGGTAACGGTCCCTTCCAGAAGCACGGCTTCGCGAGGAACACTGAGTGGGAGCTCGACAGCTACAGCACCGAGGAGGATCCGTGCGTAATAAATTATTATCATTATGAATTGTGTTAATTACGCGTTGGAGTTTCACCCTAGTGGTATGAAAAACACTAGTGTAAAACACATTTTACGACTACAGCATATCACCATGAATATCGCGTTTTTCACATTATAACGCCACCCGCGTAAATCGGGTGAAACCCCATCATATTTATACTGAAATATTAGTATATTATCACTAGTAATAATACCATAACTTTCCAAAATCGTGTGGATGCTGAGCTCTGTACAGGTTACATTCAAGCTGGTTTCGAACGAATTTACTAAGGAAACGATGGGATGCCCATTCGAATTCGAGTTGCGGTATACTGTAACTCTAGGTGGAGACTATTTGGGGATGCATATGGAAGTGGTGAATACTGGTGCGGAGGCTATGCAGTTCACAACAGCTCTTCATACGTAATAGTCCATGAACGGCTTTATGGAGAGGACGAGGAAGAGGGTTTAGGTACTTTTCGGTCGGAGATATTGCTACGACAACAGTGGCTGGAGTTGGCGAGCATCATTACAACGATACGGCTCAGGGAGGCAAGGACTGTAAGAAAGGCAATTCATATAGTGGAGTTTCATTCGATTTACATGCAGTGGTGTAGTACTCTGTGAAAAACGCGATATTCGTGCTATGCGGTGCTATGTGAAATATGTTTTTCACTAGTGTTGTGAAACTCCAGTGACTATTTAAGGGTTTGGTTTTCCTGTGCAGGTTATGATGGGAATTCGGTGGTTGAGTTTAATGAGGGTATTGTGGATAGAGTGTATAAGCAAGCAGCTGGCCCCGCTCATATACTTTGTGACGGTTTTGAGATGTGAGCAGTCTTCATTGACTTGTGATGATTTAACGCTTTTCCTGTCAGATTGATGGTTGAGAAGAGCCCGTCGTTCCCGGACACTGTTGTGTGGAATATTGGCAGCGACTCGTTAGGCGATATGCCGGCGGGGGACTTCAAGAGGTAGGTTTACTCAGGGGCTAGTAGTATCATACTCATTCGAGGGTACTCCTCATCGTGATGTGTGCGCAATGTGGTATTGAAAGTTTATTTTGTTGAGAACTGTTGAAAACATTGAACTCCTTATGTAGTAGGCAAAGATTCAGGAGTTGGAGAAATGATGGTATGATTATGCCTCTCGCTGTTCTCGAGTGTATAACTGAACTTGATTGATAGATACATTTGCGTCGAGTCTGCAGCCGCAGTAGAGCCGGTGAAGGTAGCCCCTGGTGATTCATGGGAAGCTGACCAGAAGCTTACCAGATGCCTTCCTAATAGTAACGGCAGCGCTTGAATGAAGCTCTGCATTGGTCGCGGAGGGGGCCTCTATAAAGTGGGTGCTCTTATTCTCCTATTGATATTGTGTTGACCTTATGGCAATTCTCTCGATGCGTTGGGGTTTGGTGTTCATCACGTGTTGACAGGGTTGTGGACAAGGTGGTGGGGTTTCCTTTCGTGAAGTGGCCGATGAATGGTAGGAGGATTTCAGTAATTAATTAGCTTTGATAAAAAATCCTCAATGCACTCTTCGAAAGCCCAAGAAACTGTGTGCGGGAAGGTGATTTTCTGCCGTTTGTTTTAGTTTTTTCGATGTTTTTTGTGAGTATCGGGGAAGTGCCGCATCCATCAGCGTTTAGTATGTTGCTTCATATGGCTCATTCGTTGAAGGAAGTCTTAACATTGTTGAAGACAGAACTTCTGTCACAGAAGTAGACACTGTGACTGTTCGAGCACATGATGATGTTGTGTGATTCACGAGTACCCCACATCCCTATGATACCACCCATGAACCGCAACCGTTCCAATTTGGAACGGTTTGGGACTTGAAAATAATTACAAGATATTCCAATTCAGGAGAAGGAAAGCCACACCGAAGGAAAACTAGGGGCGCTCTCCGTTGTGGCTCAGAGATTATCTCCCCTCTGCAAGTAGCATGCCTTGAAATAAGAGGATTACTGACTTCGACCACATCTCTGATGTTGGTTTCACCAAGATTGACGAGTTGAGGGAGAAGATCGGTGCTGATCAATTAAGGAAGCAGGCCATTGTTACCCCGAACAAGATAGGTGCGCAGATTCTCGAGTCCAACGTTAATGCTGGACTCAGGTGTTCAGGTGCGAAGTATGCGTAGTTGAGTTTAGAAGAGCCGTTGATCATCATGCGCTTGATGCACCCTGTGTAAGAGGGGGTTCACTCGTGGTATATCCTACAGCGAAGTCCAGAAGTACCTAAAACAAATCTAGCAGCAATAACAAGCTTGAGAACCAAAACCGTCCCTACAGGAACTACATCAATTAAGCATAGTAGACAAAAAGTGTTCGGATCTTCAGACTCTAGCTTCCTGCGATAGTACAGTGCCGCTGGTACTAACCACTATGTATTGGTCGGACCAATACATAGTACCAACTTGGTCCAGTCATTTAATGACTGTCATTACACTGAACTACCACGGTAACACTGCCGTATCGCCAAGGCATTTTGACCAAACCATTCGCACCTGTCTCACATTCGTATGGCAGACCTGATCCTTCACTTTTTCGACATAAGCACGACGATAACCTAGGCCTTTGAATTGAGGATTTGTTTTCACGTCAGTCCAGCTTTTGAAGCTGACTATCCCAATGGCGGCTGTTTCTCCCAGAATTTCGAGCCCCCATATTCAAAAGCTTGTGAGTTGTTGTGTCTCTCAGAACACTCCGATTGACCAAAAGTAGCCCAGTGTCCGAGATGGCCGGAAATGATGAGGAGTGGAGAGATGTTATCGTACTGGAGAACGTTGCCGCCGCCGAAGGATGCAACATCCATCGCTTCGCCGGTCACGGAACAATAAGTTGAGGCAGTAGCTGATCCCGAGAGGTGCAACGGTTGGGTACACATAGAATAGGCAGAATCACAATTACCGTCGGTAACGAAGGCGGCCTCGCTCTACTAGTTCTTATCGTATTTCCACCAACCATCGCTGAAAGATCCTCCGAGATCTCATTACAAGACGAAAACACTTCTTTTGTCGAGTAGTTGAAACAACTAAGTTGACGGTTTCTTGCAGCGGTGGAACTCCAATTCCGTAAACTGCTTGAGCGGTGGATTGAATTCTCCATTGGTGACCAATGAATGGTCTCAGCCTGAGACTCTCAGGGTCCACGAGCTTGTCATTATTGGACAAAAACTAGCCGTGATCGGGTGCCAGCTTGGAATCTACCCGGGTCGACCTATCAAGGAGCTCATTTTCTTCCAAAAATTCCTTTGAACTTATTCGCCCGCTACGCTTGTGTGATGCAGGACAAAGTAAAACTCTCGATCCTTTCCAACCGTCTAAACTCATCAAGTCATCGAGCAGATCTTCAGCGTGATCCAAAAGGGGATAAAGCTTCTGGAATCTACCTTGGATAAGTTCCGGGTCTCCATCACGATCAGCATTCTTCTTGAAGAAAACGTCAATTGCCCCAATGAGGCAATTGACAACTTCTTCAATGAGGCAGCCTCATTATAGTTCACACCGAACGAGGATACCCATGATTGCCAGCCATCTGTCATATGTCTCACCTCCGGTGAGTAGATGTCCTACTCAGAGTTCACCACGTACAAATGCAAAAGCATAGCAGGATGATCAACCCTCCATCGTCGTTTGATACGTCGAATAGGAGTCGTTCTACACCGTTCCTACGGGCGAAATTCTGGACCTCTCTCGCGATTGACGAGTCATGAAGGGCCGCCGCAATATCGTCATGGCTAGAGAGGTTCTTCACCGGCTCGAAATCGGGTATAACCACAACGACGGCATCTCCAACGAGAGTGTGGGGGCAGTGCTTCCAATTCAACCTTCCGCAGCTTAGGAAAGCTTTCGTTCACCCTGAGAACACCATAATCCGAGCTGCTGGTCGATTCATTGGAAATTTCACTGAATGTGTGCGTTTCATTAAGCAAACGAACCATCCGACAATCACCTGGAATCGCACTGCAGAAATACGATAGTAAGCCAATATAGTAATCGCAACTACAGCAACATAGTAATGAGTAATACGTCACACAGCCAGCGCTAAGAGACAGCGGGCACAAGGCGCAAGACAACATAGCACAATCGAAACTCATCATCTTGCTGCCTTTGTGGTTCTCCACCTCATGCCGGAACCGGCACAAGAGCTCGGGTGTTTTTCGTAAAACTTTGTTTCAAAGTCTGCGGCGTTCTGAAACTGAGGGTTCCAGTTTTGAAGCTGTAGAAATACGTAGTCGCAACGTCGGACGTTGCGACGCGTTGAGCAGGACGTTGAACGTCCTGCTTAACGCGTGACACGGCTGATCCAAGCAGTAATTGTTAAACCAGGCGAGCCCTGTAAGATTAGTTAGACCCTGCTATTTCAAGATCGCCGTAGCGCATGGGGGATATACCACTACGGCGGGGGCGATCAGGTCTTTCGAGTCGCGGCATTTGAGAAAACCGGCGGCCATACTGATTACAGTCATACAGGTTATAGGCCCATTTACCGTTGAACGCAAGGCTGAACATATCTTCTACGAGGTACCAACAGTAATGTTTCAGGGCACCAGCTCTGTCCCATGATTACAGATCCGAGATCTGCCTGATGATCAGCATCGCGAGTCATACTAGGCGGCAAGAATCTCATCAAGATCCCATTTCAAGAACTTACACACGGCAGTGCCGTGTGTAATGATCGTGCCGTGACGGCACGATCATTATGTTCGAAGTGATACCTCCACCGACACAATATTATTATGATCTGGCGAAGGTCATATTAAACGACCCTCTTGATAGGAACGCCAACACAAAGATCATGTATGCTGATCCAAATGTGTAGTGGTACGACTCCGATAAGGATTTAGAGAGCGCCGATAGACACTAGTTAAACATGGGATTTCCATTAGCAGAGCTTTTGAGTAGCGAGCGTAGGAGAAGAAGTGTAGGAACCTCGTTGCAGAACAATCCTGGCAGTTCTCCGAAAAGTACCACAGGACACATCAATTTATGAGGCTATAGGAACAAATACAACGCTAATACTTCTGTATAATGTTGTATTTGAATTCCTGGGCCCGGAGCAACTGCTGAGGAGGCGAACCAGCTAAGTTAACTAAGCTTACTGGCCCAGCCTAGTCAATACCTCAACCGCGTCCCAGCAAAAACCATATCAGTTACAAATCTGTCATTACAGTCTCTGGATTCGAACCTTGAACCATCTATTTGCAGCTTGAAGTTTAAGCGCTGGACTAACCGCTCGATACAAAAACGTCGCAAGTGGGTCCAGGCCATACTTTGGTAACCGCCTGCCTGCGGCGCGCTTGTGTCTTCACCATTATAACTGATAATTTTTTTTGGGTGCGCGGGAATTTTTTCCGATTCACAACTCCCAGTATTCACTGTTTTCATGGACAACCGAGTTGAGCTCAAGTTTCAACAAAATAGTCCTCGTGTCGATCTAGGTTGAGGTATCATGCGCATCACTGTGCCGAGCGGTCCGTGCGGACTGCTGAAATTTTGATGACTGCCAGTCATTGACTGGTACAGTTGTCTCAGACAACTTGTCTGCTTACGGCAATACAGTTCACAACTACATATCCATACTATTTCCTTCGTTGTATTATCGCACCATCCTCGGCGAAGACAGCGAATATCAGCGAAGATTCTTCGCTGATCGGCTTTGATGACCATGGCTGCCCCGCAAATGTTGCAATATGGCTCGTGGGCCATTACTCTCCATCCTTCTCGTGTGCCAGACTGTCTCACAGTGAGCCGCTCACTCGGTCCGATTCTCACTGCTCCTCTCGGAGACTCCCCGTAGAAGGCAAGGCCATCTGTCTCCCGAGCTAATAATCCCGAATTGACTGTAACCCAGGACATATTTGCCTCCTAGACTGACTCATAGTCTGGGCCTCTGAGACCATATCCCAGGAATATTATTCTCGAGGGCAAAATAGAAAATATCGAGAAAATAACTTGGCGCCTGAATCTCTGGGATCAAACGCTTGATAAGCCCAGAAGAGAAAATATCAAGCGAAGGCGAGATAAAAAAAGTTCGAGATAACTGCTGAGCAATGCAAGCTATTCAGATCGGCGTTCTACTGGTGAGTGCTTGCGTATCACCAAAGGTTACCGGTGAGGAAAGATTTGAGTATCTGTTGCATCCCCACTGGTTGATTGAGCATGAGTGAATGGCCTGCGTTCTTCACCTGAACAGGCACCCTCAATGTTCGCTACCAAAATGTGCTCTCCACCTCAACGAATGCGAGTCTCGCTTCATTGGGGTATTGAGAAGTACGCGACGTTCCTATGACGCCAACTCCAGGAACCTGAAACAGAGTCCTCGCCACAGCAGTTGTGCTAAAAAGTGTCACTGTAATAGAGTAAGCTCCTGACCTTGAGATCTTGAGGTTTTGATTGTCTGAGTGCTTCGCCGTACCCCTCCTTCCCTTTCAAGTTGAACAACCACTCCGTTGTACCCACCGCGTTCGTGATATAATCCTCATCGCCATTGACCACAAGTATCTGTAGCAGTGATATACCGTACTGATCCAATGAAAGGATATTCCGTATCGACTCCTTCACTCAGCCTCCAGACATGACTTGTACTATATCAAAATTAGTGGATTTGGTTGAGCGTAGCCGTCCAATATTAGCTACATCATCGAGTTTACCATTTGCGTTTCTTTGTTTTCACGAAAACTTGTGAAATCACGATTTTCTTGCGACTGGCAATCGGATGACTGATATGCCCCCCTGCGGCGCGTATTGGGCCACCGAGTTCGCAGATCCATAGTCACGGTGTATCCCAGAGGTGACGATCTCAGATCATTCTCACCTTTAATCCGTGGTCGAGGAGTTGTGTGACGAAGAAGGTCCCATCATAGGCGGTGTACTTATCGAAGTCGTCTAAGACCTGGTATGAAACTATCATGTTCAAATGGAACCCGAAATTGAAAGGATGGCAACCTGAGAATTCATTTGCTTCCAAACTTTAGACACGCCGAGAGCTTGTTGAACACTTCGCTTATTGAGAAAACCGGCCGCCTGAGTGGATGACAACTTTCGAAATTGAGACCTGCAATGACGACTACTTGTCCCTGTTTGAAAGCGTAAAATTCGGAACGTCTACCTTTTCGTGCGCGTACATCGTATCTGGAGAAGAAATAGTGGCTCGGTTGATAGGAATATCCCGGACGACACAGAGAAACTACATGTGATTTGAAGGAGTCTGGTAGCCAGAATGGTCGGCTCACCTCCTCGTATCAGGGGCCGCGATTCGAGACAGCGAAGGTCAACACTTCCATTCCGACCCGCCCACTTACATGCTCTTGTCTTCTCTGTCCATAGGGTCCATCGTTATTTTTTCACAGATATTGACAGCTCCTTGGCACAAACCTGCAAGGAACAGAGCATGATTGTCGAAGGTGCTCGACTTAGCGGTTATCCACCGGGCTTAGCAGGCTTTCCAGGCCCATTAGAATTGCACTTGTCGACTGCTGCTTCACACTTCGTCAAGCCAGTCTTCATTATATCGAGCCTGGGAAAACTATACTATCAACGCACAGTGTGGAACCAGGACTCCTTCTGAGGTAGAATTTTCCGTTCCTTGGCCATCACGTAAGCTCCGTGATATCTGGCAAGAAGAGCCAGTCAACAATGTCAACTCGGAATGAATGGATTGCTCACATCTCGTACGGTCCAACTACACCAGCAGACATCATCACTCCTCTCAAATCGATCTTGGGATCAAGCTTTCGCAGGATGCCCTCTCCCAACATTGCAACGAAGAGAGCTGCAGGATGGTATCACGCGCAATATTAGCTCGGCGTGCATACCAGACGCTGATGTCCCGACGAGGTGTACATTCCTGTTCAAGTGAGGGTATTTCTTGAATAACTGGCCGCTCAAGATGACCCTGTGGAGGACTATTGTGATGAATATATTCTCTGATCTGAAGAATGCTCACATGTTGTTGATAAACTTCTCTAAGTTGATCTCTATCTGACCCAGGCTAAACCCGGTAGGTCCAGGCGCATCGATCCAAATGCTGTTTGCTTGCTTAGTCCACGAGTATCTAACGCCGAACG